ATCCAACCGAAAAAACAAGAAATCTCTAGCGAGAAGCCATTTCTTCAGCTGCAAGTATGCTCCAATGACAATTTCTTCTCTGCTGATGATAACATCGGAAACCGTAAAATAAATAAGCTCCTTATAACTATTTTGCTGTTGTTAACTTGAAATTGACTGTAAATCTCTAAAATCCGATAGAATTAGTTTAAAAGGCCTTTTGTTACACGTCAAGCTCGCTCCAATGATAATTCGTTGGAAACTGGACTTTTTTCTGATTTTTTGATCATTTTCGCTGGAAAATTTTACTCATCAGTCAAGTTTATTCCCTGATGATAGATCTAATTGGATGAAGTAGAAATCCCCTGAGATAAGCTGCAAATTTGCTCTGATGACAATTACTTGTCTGCTGATTATATAATTGAAGAGGAAGTGACGTTTGAGTTAATTATGAGGGTGTTTTGCCGAGAAATTAAAGCTAATAAGTCATAGAATCTCGTGGAAAATCATCTGCTGGGAACGGCTTTTTTTTTGAGTACCAAGTTTGCTCCATTGACAAAAATCAGTTTTCTAATTATCATTGTACATATTTAACTAACTAAAAAAAGGAAGTGTTGAGAAACCTCAGGGGAACTGATTTTCACCTGGAGGAGCCTAAAAAAGATCCAAGTTTTAAAAATAACTCATTTTTGAAGGTTTCTACGTGCTCGCTCTTTCGTTGTGATTTGGCTTTTCGCCAAAAAACCTTATGAAAAAGTTTTCCGGAAGCTTCTAGCAAATCTGCTCTAATGATAATCACCTGGCTGGCTATAATAAAAATGCTCAGGCCTTGGTAAGGAAAACCGGACGTTTCTTAGCGATTCTAGGGATCACTTAAGAGGGCTGACGCTACTAAAGTGGTCACTAGAAAGGACCAATGTCCGAGAGAATAGTTAGCATAATAAGAAGGAGAGATTAGATGAAGCTCCGCCCACTTAAATTTAACTGCTTTCCAGCTGAAAGGGCTCAAAAAGGTCCTAGTTCTGAAAATAAATCTTGTCAGGAGGCTCTTTTTTAAGTTTGAATCGCGCTCTATTGATAACTTGTCAAAAAAAAACGCCCATTTTCTCTGATTTCTCGATAATTTTCTATGTAAAGGCTACACATTAATTAGAATTTTCTGCTGATTGCAGAGATAATTTGAAGAGGAAGTGATGTTAGACTAGAAATCCCTTGAGAGGCCATTTATTCAAAGGAAAATCTGCTCCAATGACAAATATCAGTTTCTTAGGAATCATATGATTGGCTAAAGAGAGGAAGTTTGAAAAAAGTCCGGCCCAAGTGAATTTCGCAGATTTTCCACCTGGAAAAGCTCCGAATCCCACTGAATAATCTTTAAAAAGGCTCTTATTACGCGACAAACTTGCTCTATTGACAATTTTCTTAAAGTTTGGTCTCCTCCTTTTTAGTATTGTACAAGATTGATGAAAAGCTTCACCCAACTGAATTTTGCAAATTTTCACCTGTTGTTGGCTGAAAAATCTTTCGCAGGCTGTTTTTACCACCTCAAATTTGCTCTATTTGCTCTATATTCTCTTTAAATTTGGCTTCCTTCTTTTCAATCGTATAGAAATCGACACGAAGCTCCGCCCAAGGGAATTTTGCGGATTTTCACCTGTACATGCCTGAAAAACTCCGAATTCCACTAAAACTGGCTCTTTTTACGCAACAAACTTGCTCTATCGATAATTCTTTTGGAAATTTTTGTTTTCCCTTTTCAGTATACAGAGATCCCCACGACGCTCCGAAAAACTTTCGGAGGCTGTTTTCACCACCTCAAACTCGCTCCATCGATAATTTTTTCTGAAAGTCGGTGTTTTTTTCTTTCTTTTTAGTATACAGAGATCCCCACGACGCTCCGCCCAAGAAAATTTCACGAATTTTCACCTGGACATGTCTGAAAAGCTTCGAATTCCACTGAAAACCTTTCATAAGAGGCTCATTTTACGTTGCAAACTTGCTCCATCGAGAATTTTCCTCAAAATGGGCTTCCTTTTCTTTAATCGTATAGAGATGGACCCAAAGTCCAGCTTGAGTAAATTTCGCGAACTTACCTGTTGTTGGCTTAAAAAACATTCGGAGGCCGTTTTTAGCACCTCAAGTTTGCTCTATTGACAATTTTTTTCACTTCTTTTTAGTATACAGAGATCGACACGAAGTTCCGCCTCAGAAAATTTCGCAAATTTTCACCTGGACATGCCTGAAAAGCTTCGAATTCCCCTGAAACTGGCCCTTTTTACGCGACAAACTTGCTCCATCGATAATTCTCCTTAAAAAGGGACTTTCTTGTCTTCAATCGTATATAGATCGACACGAAGCTCCGCCCAAGTAAATTTCGCGAATTTTCACCTGTTGGTGGCTAAAAAAATGTTTCGGAGGCGGTTTTTAGCTCTTCAAACTTGCTCTATCGACAATTTTTTGTAGAAATCGGTTTTTCTTTCTTTTTAGTATACAGAGAACCCCACGAAGCTCCGCCCAACTGAGTTTCGCGAATTTTCACCTGGAAATGCCTGAAAAGCTTCGAATTCCCTTGAAACTGGCCCTTTTTACGCAACAAACTTGCTTTATTGATAATCCTCCTGAAAATCGACTACCTTCTTTTTAATCGTAGAGATCGACACGAAGCTCCGCCTAACTGAGTTTCGAGAGTTTTCACCTGGAAATGCCTCAAAAGCTTCGAAATCCGCTGAAATTCTTTTCAGAAAAGGCTTTTTATACGCATCAAACTTGCTCTATCGAGAATTTTCTTGAAATTTGGCTTCCTTCTTTTCAATCGTATAGAGATGGACCCAAAGTTCCGCTCAACTGCTTTGACCAAATTTTTACCTCTTTTTGGCTAAGAAAAAACTTTCGGAGGCCGTTTTTAGCCCCTCAAACTTGTTCTATCGACAGTTCTCTTGAAATATTGGCTTCCTTTTTTCCGTATTACATAGGGACACGAAGCTCCGCCCAACTTCGCACATTTTCACCTGAAAAGTTTTTCGGAGGCGGTTTTTAGCGGCTCAAGTTTGCTCCAATGACAATTCCTATAAAAGTCTTTTTTCACTTTCTCAGCGGCAAATTAGTTCATTCTAGCTTACGGCCACGTGATTCTGTTCCCATTTTTTTGTTCTCTTGTTAATGAAATTTTTGAATATTTACTACGTCGCGCCTAAAAACCAAAAATCCAGGGAATCCTCCGCCCTTTTCGCATCCCAAGTAAACTTGAAATATTCATAATGTCTGCCCTTCCAAGCCGCATTTTTAGATAATATGAAGGAATCTTTAAAGTTCGCAGCCTTTTTTTTTCCCTCACAAATTGGATTTTTTCCATTTCAATGGGTTTACGAGCGAGAAATAAGTTATTTACGACTCTCTTCATACCTACTGAGGCTTGATATTTACACGCTGCTTTTCAAAAAATCGACAAATTTTCGACAGAAACCCCCCAAGGGCGGCCAAAAATAGTTGTGCAGGGGAAGCCATTCAGGTGCTAAATTTACGGTTTTTTGGTCTCAAAATTAAGAAAAAGGGCTTCTCTATTAGTGTGTTGAAAATGAAGGGATTTTTAAAGATAGCCGTTTTTTTTTTGTTTTTAAAATTTTTGAAAAATCCCCCAAGTGCAAGCCTATCATTGCTTCAAAGGGCCATTTTCGTTTTTTTTTTTTCCCAGCCATTCCAAGTGCGACCATTGTGCTTTAAAATGTTGCAATCTCACAAATAAACTTGAAGATAATTGCCCCCAGGCCTAGCAAAACCGAGCAATTTTTCTTGCCAAATTGAACTTTTTGTGGTTTTTTGAGCCTTTGGTTTCGAAACGAAAAATATTTATTACAAATTTTTCGAAAAATCAATGAACATGAATTATTTCTTGTTTTTGTTCTCGAGAAAAAAAAAATTACTGGAACGCTTTGAAAACGTCTTTTATTTAAGCCTTTTCAGGTTTTTCTTTCAAGGGAAAAAAATTTGAAAACAAACCAAATTTGTTCTTTTCTTCTTTGACAACCAATTTGCATGGGAAAAATATTGTTTTCGGCGCGAAAAACGGTATAAATGGAGTGCGCCCGACATGAATTGACTTGCGGAAGGTGGTATCCTTTAACATTCAATTCGCTTCTCAAAGCGTTTCTCACGTTATTTCGTTATTTTACTAGTGAAAACGATTGTTTTCGATGCGAAAAACGGTATAAATTGACTGCGCCCGACTTGAAACGACTTGCGCAAGGTAGTATTCTTCAAAATTCCATTGGCTTTTCAAGGCGTTTCTCATGTTATTTCGTTATATTAATAGTGAAAAAGATTGTTTTTCGACCCGAAAAAGGGTATAAATTGACTTCGCCCGACTTGAAACGACTTGCGCAAGGCTGCATCCATCAATATTTCACGGGCTTTTCAACGCATTTTGTATGTTATTTCGTCATATTACTAGTGAGAATGATTGGTTTTGACCCGAAAAACGGTATAAATGGAGTGCGCCCGACTTGAAACGACTTACGGAAAGTCGTATCCTTCAACACTTCATTGACTTTTCCAGGCATTTCTCAAGTTATTTCTTTTTTTTTTGCAGTAAAAAATAGCATTTAAGCATGTTGCAGACCTTTTTTTCAGCTGTTCAAATTTTCCCCAGACGCCATTTCCCTCGACTTTTTTTTTTTCTCGGTTCGAATGTTTCAAATCAAATTTCGCCTCAGGCTCTTCAGAACTCTTGAAACTCTTCTCCTCTTTTCCAGAGCTTCTCGGAGAGTAAGCTAGTGACTTCCTAGTTCAATTAATTCGAAACATTACTAAGCAATTTGAAACGGAATGTGTCACATATCCCCCCACACACGTCTGGAAACCCTTCAAGTGCCCGCATTTTTCGGCTTCCCCTTGTTTTTTTTGTCTCTTTCTTCCTAACTACTCATAATCCGTCTGAGAGGCGTGTTTTGTCGAGCGAGAGAAACATTACGTCGAATCCAATGGTTTCAGGTTTTCGCCGAGAATTTTGAACAAGTTTTTGGCGGATGGTCCTCGACTCGTCGTGGAACGAAACGACCCAGGCGTTTGGGCACAAGGTTCGTGGCTATTCTGTCATTGTTAAGTGCGCTCTGTTGATAAATTGTTAATTATACGTTCTGAGGAAAAACTATCCAACAAAAAGTTGGTATTTTTTTCTTTCTAAAAAAATAATTTTTTTGAGTTAAAGGGGCTATTTTATCACTTTGAAATGTGCTCTATTGACAAATCTCATCATTATTCCTTTGAGAAAGTACTGAAATTCAAGAAAAAAATTCAATAAAAAAATTATTCCAAGACGTATTTTTTTCAACGTTTCTCGTTTCATTGAATTTAACTTTGTTTCGCGGCTATTTTTTGAGTTTCAAGTGTGCTCCAATGATAATTATGGCTGAAAGGCTTGTTAAAATCTGGTATACAGGCGATTCGGTCGAAAAATACTTCAAATTTTTTTTTTGGTTATTCCTATAATCGGTCGGAAGGAAAAAACAAACTTCAAGGCTGTTTTCTGATTTCTAAAAGTGCTCTATTGATAAAATACGCTTATATGGTTCTGAGAAGGTCTCCTCACCTAGCATTTACTTGAAAACAGCTCTGTATAAATATTTACCGAGTTTTTGGTTGAAAGGTTTTGTCAAAATTGAGCTTGTTACACGGCGGTTTTTCATTTTTCAAAGTTGCTCTGTTGATAATTTTGAGTAAAATCCTCCCTAAAAGGTTAATTTTTCAGAGATTCCACTCAGAAACAGCTCAAAAGGGTATTCACAGTGTTTTTTCTGGTTCCAGTTGTTTTCCTAAGATTCCTTCCATTTCGGAGGCCATTTTTTGGTTGTAAAATGCGCTCGGTTGATAATTGGAGGGAAAAATTGTTAGGATATGTTTTATTGAACCGAAATTGGAACCTCAGTGTCAAGATGATGTAAGAAAAAACAATTTTTGGTTGTTTCGTTGAATTTTTCCACTGACCGGCTATTTTGTGGTCTTAAAACGTGCTCGGTGGATAATTATGGTGGGAAATCTCAAAATAAAGCTTCCTTGGAACTATTTTTCTGGTTTTTGATTGATTTCTTGGGCTCGATTTGGCTTGGATTCAATAAACCCTCAAAATACCCAATTAAATTTGAACCACTTGTGAAAAATCTAATTATTTTTCATTCTTCAGAGATCATAGAACCAGACGGAATTTCATGGAAATTCAATTTTTCGGTAAATTTGTATTCCCTTTGTTTTATTTTTCAGTTTGACGCACAAAAAATGAATACAAATGCGTGTTTTCCCGGAAAAATAACATTGAAAGGAAGAAAATACCGGAAAGGGCGCTCCATTGACAATTAATCCTTGGAGAAGATTCCAGGAGCCGAAAACCGAGAAAAGGTTGAGAAATTAATGATTATTACTGGAAAACATTGAAAACATCATAAATATACGATTCATAGGTAAATTTAGAAGGGAATTCGGCTAACAGAGCTGGAAAAAAACGGAAACTTTGAAAATTATCAATAGAGCTAACTTGAGGAAACATAAAAAGCCGTTAAATTTTTTTGGAAACCTTGGCTGGATTTTTCAATTTTTTTGACATTTTTCCAGTTGATTACAGTAATCTTGGGCTAGAAATATCCATGGAGCACATGTGAACCAGAAAAAAATTGAAAAATTATCAATAGAGCTAACTTGAGGAAACATAAAAAGCCGTTAAATTTTTGGAAACCTTGGCTGGATTTTTCAATTTTTGACATTTTCCAGTTGATTACAGTAATCTTGGGCTAGAAATATCCATGGAGCACATGTGAACCAGAAAAAAATTGAAAATTATCAATAGAGCTAACTTGAGGAAACATAAAAAGCCGTTAAATTTTTTTGGAAACCTTGGCTGGATTTTTCAATTTTTTTGACATTTTCCAGTTGATTACAGTAATCTTGGGCTAGAAATATCCATGGAGCACATGTGAACCAGAAAAAAATTGAAAATTATCAATAGAGCTAACTTGAGGAAACATAAAAAGCCGTTAAATTTTTTTGGAAACCTTGGCTGGATTTTTCAATTTTTTTGACATTTTCCAGTTGATTACAGTAATCTTGGGCTAGAAATATCCATGGAGCACATGTGAACCAGAAAAATTGAAAATTATCAATAGAGCTAACTTGAGGAAACATAAAAGCCGTTAAATTTTTGGAAACCTTGGCTGGATTTTTTTTTTTTCAATTTTTTTGACATTTTCCAGTTGATTACAGTAATCTTGGGCTAGAAATATCCATGGAGCACATGTGAACCAGAAAAATTGAAAATTATCAATAGAGCGAACTTGAGGACACATAAAAGCCGTTAAATTTTTGAAAACCTTGAACTGGATTTTTTTTTTTCAATTTTTTCGACTTTTTCCAGTTTATTACAGTAATGTTAACCTAGAGTTATCAATACAGCACATGTGAACCTGAAAAAATTGAAAATTATCAATAGAGCGAACTTGATGAAACATAAAAGCCGTTCAATTTTTGGAAACTTTGGCCGGATTTTAAAAATGTTTTTTTGACGTATGTTTCAGTAACAAACACTAAATTTGGGGTAGAATTGTCAATGGAGCACACATTAACCTCAAAAAACAGCCACCATTATTTCAACGAAATTTTTGAATTTTTTTCTTTTTTTTCAGGGTGTTACATTGACCATGAAGCTAGAAAAAAACTGAAAATGGGAAAAATTATCAATAAAGCGAACATGAGGAAACAAAAAAGCCTTCTGAAAATAAAAAAAAAGCTTGAGAGATTTTAAAATGTTTTTTGACCTTTTTTTCAATAATAAACACTAAATTTGTATTAGAATTATCAATGGAGCACACATTAACCTCACAAAAAAGCCTTCGAAGCCAATTGTTTTTTTTTTCATGGCGTCACGGCGGCTAGAAGTTCTAGAAAAGAAGAAAAAAGGGAAAATTATCAATAGAGCGAACTTGAGGACACATAAAAGCCGATAATTTTTGCAAAGCTTCAGCTGAGTTTTTTGAATATTTTTTGACCTGTTTCCGTAATAAGCACTGAAAATGAACTAGATTTATCAATGGAGCACACATTAACCTCACAAAAAAGCCTTTTTGACAATTTTTTTTTCATTCAGGGCGTCACATTCGTCCATTTGCTGGCCCTCGGCTCCGGTGCCTGTAATTGCGTTTTGAATGCCCTTATTTGGATGGCATTTATCAAAACGCCGAGATTACTCCAGAAACATCATCTCTACCTTTTCTACTGTCTAGCCGTAACCAATTTTTTTACAGGTACTTTGAGAAATTAGTCGTGGTCGCACTTGGAATGGCTCAAAGTTGTTTTAACTTGGAGTAGAGCCATTCCAAATGCGGCCATGAGATTTTGAATTCAGTATAAATTTTTAGGGTTTTTCACTCTACCAACTTATTTGAACCTGATAAATCACAACAATCTGAACTGTCCCCGCTGGTCAATTTTGATAGGATCTAGTGGGTTTTTTTTTCTTATTTTTGTCATGTGACTATCGCTCAGATCTCCCTTGATCATCTACATTTTCAGGCTTCGAGTTCGCCTTCGACCGGATCCGACACGTGATAACTTTGGCTATCGCGTTGGAGCGAATTTACGCGCTTTTCTGCCCCGGCGAGTATTTTTTCCTGGACCATCAATGGGTATACCATTGCTCATGTTAGCTCATAATTTCTGAGAGTTGCAGATCGCCATCAAAGTTTGTACGATCGCGGCCGTGTGGGCAGTCTTCGATATGGCTTTTCTGATAGTTGAGGACAATATTTTCATGGTTGGTTTGTTTCTCATACTAGCTGAGACTAGGCCTTTTTCTAGCAGAGTTTTTGTATCAATAGGATGACCATTTTCTAAAAAATGGGGTTACTGTAGGATTATTCTATTATCTTACTGTAGAGGTTGGCTTGTTGCTCATTCTAGCCGAGATTAGAAGGGCTCTGGGCATTTTTCTAGCAGGGGTGTTGTATCAATAGGATGACGAGTTTCCGAAAAATTTGGGCTTACTGTAGGATTATTTTGTTATCTTACTGTAGAGGTTGGTTTGTTGCTCATTCTAGCTGAGATTAAAAGGGCTCTAGGCATTTTTCTAGTGGGAGTTTTGTGTCAATAGGATGAAGAATTTCCAAAAAAATTGGGGTTACTGTAGGATTATTTTGTTCTCTTACTGTAGAGGTTGGTTTGTTGCTCATTCTAGCTGAGATTAGAAAGGCTTTGGGCATTTTTCTGGTAGGGGTGTTGTGTCAATAGGATGACGAATTTTAAAAAAATTTGGGGTTACTGTAGGATTATTCTGTTATGATTACGGTAGAGAGGGCTTGAGTTTTTTAATGAGATTTCTAAAAGTTCATTCTCTAAGGTCTCAAGGATTACTGTATTCTCTGAGAAAAAGATCATTTTTCGAACCCAGCGCATCCCTAATTGCTGAGAATTATTTATCAATGGAGCGCGTTTTAAAAGGTTCGACCAGTGACGAATTCATTCAGAGCCGTTAGGACATTAATTAATGATTAATTATCGCTCGAGCATATTTGACGAGTAATGAGGGAAAATTAGGAGTAGGTATCTTTAAAAGACATTCAGGGACATGAGAAAAGATGTAAAAGAGATATTTTGGGAATTTTTATCGTTAGAGCGAATTCGAGGGAAAAATTGAGCTGCGATGAGGATATTATTGATTCTCTACGAAAAGGAATGATGAGAGAGACAAAAATAATCGAAAAGCATATAATTTTCAGTTTTTTGTCAATAGAGCGCACTTGCGCCTTAATAACGACTAAAATTTGTTTTTTGGTCCCATTTTCGGCGGTTATAAAAACTACCGATTTTTACTTGAAATATGTTTGAAAAATTAATCTTATGATTTTTGTCAATAGAGCACATTTGCGCTTAATAAACGGCCAAAATAAGTTTTTTGACTCATTTTTGGTGGCTGTTTGTTCAAGGCTTCCTGAAGCAAACTTAGAAATTCATGAGAAGCTCAACGGGCCTTCAGGAAAAAGTACGATTTTTGTCCGTGGAGCGTACATGCGCTTGAAAAACGGCCATAATTAGTTGAACTTTTTTCTGGTTTATTTTGGCGGCTTTTTCTTCAAGGCTTTCTTTAGTGAATCTAGAAGTTGGAAAATTTGAGAAATATTCATTATCACCTAAAAAAATGTTGAAAAAAACGAGTATTTTTTTACGATTTTTTTGTCCGTAGAGCGCACATGAAAAAAAGTTCATTTTTTTGGCGGCGATCAAAGCTCTCCGAAGCGAATTCGGATCTTCACAAGTAGCCTCTAAAGTGTCTAATGATATTAAATTATTAAAAAAATAAACTTTCATCACAAAAATCATCGGTTTCTAGGTCCGAGTCCACTGCGTGACGACCTCCTCATCTGGCCCAATCTTCCATGTTTATTTTCTCATCGCTACGATTGCTTTTGGGGTTTTCCTGTCCCTCGCTTATTCCGTCTTCATCAGCAAGCTCTTCATCCTCCGTGGAACCCAGCTGATCAACCGGAAAAGCTTGTGTCGGGAGAATTTTCATCAGGTATGGTTTTTGAAGTTTTTATTCGTTTTTCCCGAGAAAAATTGGATTTTTCTGAATTTTTTTTTGAGTTCAAAGGGTGCCTTGATGCTTTTAAAACGTTCTAAGAAATCTAGATTAAATTTTTGATTTTATAGCGCTCTGAGGAACGTCAAAGTGGTCCCTATGGGGGTTTAGGGCCGAACTCCTGAGTCTCCAAAGCTCAAGTGGTTCTTATAGGGGTTACTGGAAAAAAACAGCCTCTATAGGGGGACATAAAAAGTATCGTGGTGAAATTCAAGTGTTCCCTATAGGATTTATTAAAGAAACAGCCCCTATAGGGGCCAAAGGGCGTTGGTAAAATTCAAGTGCTCCGTTTAGGGGGTTTAAGGCCGGACCCTTGAGTCTCGAAAGCTCAAGTGGTCCCTATAGGGGTAAGGTATAAAACAGACAAAAAAGAGCCCTCTACAGAAGCAAGGGTGGTCACTATAGGGTTCACAATCTGATCCTTGAGCCCCTAAACTTCAAGTGGTCCCTATAGGGTCTCTTAATTTTTGTTCAGATCTGAAAATTCAGGAGATAAACTTTATGAAATCATCCTCTGTTGATGTTTTTGATCAAATAATGATAATAGGCTTTAAAAATTATTTGCCTTGTACCATTTTATGTGTTCATCTTCATAGTAACTTTTAAGACAGGTTTAGGATAAATTTTCAGAAAAGAAAAGTTGGAATTTTGGGGAGTTAGAAGTTTCACCCAAAGTTTTTGAACTTCCAAAAGTCTCAACCAATTTTTTCACAGTAATCTGAGTAAAAATTCAAAATGTTTAGCTTGTTAGTGCTAATTTAGGCTTTTCGTGCGATTTTCAAGAAAAAAATCCACTTGAAACACAATTTTCGAGTGTCCAGCAACTTCTTGAGTATCACTTGTAATTTTTAAATTTACAAACCTGGAACCAGAATTTTTCCAGGTAAATTCCTTAACAGTGGCTGTAATTCTGATGGTCGTGATATTCAATGTTCTACCGAGTTCGCTCTACCTTTGCGATATGATTTTGGGGAAGGTTGGTTTTTTTAAAGCTTCTGAGAGAACTGTAAAAGTTCTAAAGAAGGAAAAATGACGACTAATTGCATTTTCTAAGCCCTCACATTATTTTAAAGCATATTTTGACTTTTTTCAACAGTTTTAGCAGCTCTAGGGGACATTAGGAAATCGAAAAATCCCAATAAATTATCAAAATTGATTCAGAATGAATAAAAAATCAAAAATAGCTTCAAAACTTCGAAATTTTCCAGGTCCACTTCATGAAATGGGGCCCAATAATCACGATTGGATACCATTTTTCTGGGATCCTCTCCTACTTTTTCTACAGCTACAAGCACAGGGAGATCCGAGCGGCTTTGAAGTTGGTTTTTAAAAAATTTCCATGCATCAAAATTTTTTTTAGTAAACTTTACCCGATCCACAAAATCACCAGCAAGAAGCATTGGAGCCCCCAAAAACAGCAAAAAATGGTGAGCTACTTTTTTTCAGTACAAATCCTCATTTTATCGATTTAAGTCCGCCCCATCGCTAATCACCCTGAAGGATGGGGATCCCGATAAAACGGCCAGCGGCGAGATTTTCTTGTAAATTTTATTTTTTTCATGTATCCTCTCAAATTTCCCACGGTTTCCCCAACGAGTAGCCTCACGATATCATGATTCTCCATGGAGCGCATTTGCTTCGGAAAATTGGCCATGGAGCACATTTCAAAACATATTTTGATCACATCCCTACGAGTACTCTTCTGCGCACTTTTTTCATTGAATGAAATAAAATTTAACTTGTTCTGTATCATTTTGATGAGAATTCAAGCTTATACAGCAAAAACTGTACCTCAAATCATTGAAAGACACTAAGAGAGCCAAGAAATAATTTAACGATAGAGCGCGTTTTAAGAACTGGATATTATCCATAGAGCGCACTTGCTCCTTTGAAAACAGCCGTACAACTTTATCAGATGGGAAACTTTTATTTTTCATTTATCCACCTAATTTTCCCACGGTTTCCCCAACGAGTAGCCTCAAGATATCATGATTATCCATAGAGCGCATTTGCTTCGGAAAATTGGCCATGGAGCGCATTTCAAAATATACAGCGAAAAATGTCGAATAAAATACCTCAAATAATTGAAAGACACTAAAAGAGCCTCAGAAAGAATTTAACGATGGAGCGCACTTCAAGAACTGGATATTATCCATAGAGCGCATTTGCTCTATCGAAATCAGTCGTACAACTTTATCAGGGGGGAAATTCACTTCAAGAACTGGATATTATCTATAGAGCGCATTTGCTCTTTCGAAATCAGCCGTACAACTTTATCAGGTGGGGAATTTTTATTTTTACGGATTGAGATCAGTGATATTGGGCGAGGTTTTATGGAACATATTTTCCATGATGCTCAGAAGGGCGTTTGACTCCGATAGCATGTGCAGAACGGTGGATCGGTATTCTAGAATATCCCAAGATTTCTAGAAAAAAAAAGATGTGTAACCCTGGAAGTTGACCTCGCCGGTGTGGTCCTTGTCGATCTTGCCGAAGCCGACCTCGAGGAGTTTCAGCCGTTCTGGCTTGGCCCCTTGGTTTTTGTAGAACTGACGGAGTTCCTTCAGCGTTAGGAGACCGTCGCCGTTGCTGTCGCGCTCCTAAAAAATTCCTTTTTTTAAGCTCTCAGACATTCCAAATGCGACCACCACCTAACACTGTCGAAAACAAAGGTACAAAAAAAAAATTTTATTATTCGATTTTGATCGAACTTTATCCACTGGGATAACATCAGAAATGCGGTCACAACTTTTTGAGCCATTTCCTCTTACTGTAGCCGGGATACAGTAGGCACCTGCGTATCTAAGTATTGAATAGTTTTGACTAGGCAAGTGATATATCAATCGATAGGTAATCCAATTTTTAGAAATTTTACAGTACATAACACCTTGGGTTACTGTAGGAATTTTTGAGTTACGGTAGTTTTTGTGTTCGGAAAGTCGGATTTTCGGTCATCCTGGCCATCCGCATAGAATCGCATCGTAATTACTTTTAGGGAATATGTCTTTCAGTATGCTCTACACGATGCCACAAAAAAAAGTTAGAATTTCTGAACCTAACATCTCGAGATTTCACTCCGAACGCGCGCAAGTTGGCACTTGGCGGCCAGGGTTGGTCGTGGTTGACGATTTTTTACGTTTTTCTTTTGTTAGATATTGGTATAAAACTTTTTTAGATTATAACTACAGTATATCTGTGAAATTCAAAGCAATTATAAGAGACCTTAACGCTAAATTTTCGGCCGAAACTTCGTTTTTAACTCTATTTTGGCTTGAAAACTTGACAAATTCCCCCACAAGAAATGTCATTCCACTTTGTGGTTGGGAATTCCGTGGAAATTAGCCAGAACATTCCTTGACGTACCAGAAGAAGATTCTGAGAGTCTCAGCCGGCGAAATTTGCTAGTTTTCCAGGAATAAGGGTCCAAAGTCCACAAAATAGTTCATTTTGATGGATTTTGCGGCGTCTGTTCTCGAAAAGTAGAATGTTGTGCAGGTTTAAACTCTCAGAATCTTCTTCTAGTACATCAAGGAGTGTTCTGGCCATTTTTCAGAAAAATCCCGACTTTCCCTGTGAAGTTCGGAATCGAATTTGTTGGTCCAGTTATAAAAATTCCAAAACTAACCCCGAAATCCTTGCGAATGACCTGGTCGAGCTTCTCATCGCTGGATAAGAGCTTGTCCGCAAAGACTGCACCAAAAATCAATAAAAACAGAAGAATATTGGAAGCCATGACGAAAAAGTTTGTTGTCGAAAACCAACAGATCGGCACCGATGAACAAGTTCTTACGAGAAACAATTGGTGGGGAAGAAAAGAAAGTTACACAACCCGAAAATATGTTTATCGAAAACAGGTCACGTCTTCTGAAGACACTGGTGTCATTCTGATCTATCGAATTTGCTGAGAAATTCCGAAGACGAAATTCAGATATATATAAATCCTGGAAAGCATGTACACACGTGGTTCCCGTGGTTGTGAAAAATACGAGCTCAAGAATTTTGAAACTTCTGGCTTATTCTCGTTATCAGCTTTTCAATGATAGACGGCTATAGGGATTAATTTCAATTCACGTAATCTTTTAGAAGTCTCCAGCTTACATGTCAGCTTTCCCTTCAACATTTATGATATGTTAACTAATCGATAGAGCGTCGCAAGACGGTTCTAATGATATTGTTCAACTCCTGATAACTTATTTTGATAACGAGTTATTAGCTGAGGCAAGTCTGAAGCTTTTAGATGGAGCTCAATCAGTTGACAGCCTATATCATTAGAAAGCGGACGACGAGACAAATCGAATGATGTAATCAGATAAGCTGTAGCTGATCTGTGAACTGAGATATGAGCGCTCAAAGTTTCTCATTAAAATTTGAAATGGCGTCAGGTAAAATGCATTTGGTGGGCTGCACCGCGGTGTACTCTTCTCGCAAAAAAGGAAAAGCTCAAAAAAAAGTTTGACTTTTTCAACTTTTTTTTACTGTAATCGATAGAGCAGTGTCCATATAGTAGTGTTATCATATCTCTTTCAAGGGAAAAGCTCAAAAATGGGGTAAAAATGGGTCTGAAAAACCGCAATTTTAAGATTTCAAAGCTCCATAACTTTGTTCATTTTGAAGATACCGAAAAACTGAATACATCAATCGATTTGTCTCATCATCAGCTTTCTAATGATATAAAACTTCAGGAGTTTCCACTAACGTGGATAACGTTCTAGAGTTTCATAGCTTACATCTCAGCTTTTTCCTCAATCTGAATGATATAATAATCAATCGATGGAGCGTCCTGAGGCAATTATAATGATCTATTTCACTTCTTGATAACTTATCACAACACATAGTTATAAGCTGAGGCGAGTTTGAAGCTTCGAGATGAAGCTCAATCGAATGTTACCTTATATAGTTGGAAAGCTGACATCAAGACAAATCGAATGATATAATTAGATAAGCTGTAGCTGCTCTGGGAGCCGAGATATAAGCCCTCAAAGTTTTCCATTAAAATTTGAAATGGCGTCAGGTAAAATGCATTTGGTGGGCAGCACCGCGGTGTACTTTTCTCGTGAAAAAGGAAAAGCTCAAAAAAAAGTTCGTTCTTTCGAGGTTTAAACTAGATCAATCGATAGAGCAGCTTCCATATAGTAGTTTTATCATATCACTTCCAAGGAAAAGCTCAAAAATGGGGTGAAAAACTGGCCTTAAAAACTGCATTTTTCAGATTTTAAACTTCTATAACTTTGTTCATTTCAAAGATACGGAGGGACGGATTAAATCAATCGATTCGTCTCATTATCAGCTTTCCAATGATATACGACTTCAAAAGTTTACATCGACATGAACGATGTCATAGAAATTCACAGCTTACATCTCAGCTTCTCCCCCAACCTGAATGATATAATAGTCAAGCGATAAAGCGTCCTGAGACGGTTCTAATGATATCGTTCGATCCCTGATAACTTATCAGAACAAGTACTTATAAGCTGAGACGAGTCTGAAGTATCTGGACAAAGCTCAATGGGATGTTACCTTATATAGTTGGAAAGCTGACATCAAGAAAAATCGAATGATATAATTAGATAAGCTGTAGCTGCTCTGGGAGCCGAGATATGAGCCCTCAAAGTTTCTCATTAAAATTTGAAATGGCGTCAGGTAAAATGCATTTGGTGGGCTGCACCGCGGTGTACTTTTCTTGCGAAAAAGGAAAAGCTCAAAAAAAAGATTGCATTTTCAAATTTTAAACTAGATCAATCGATAGAGCAGCTTCGATATAGTAGTGCTATCATATCACTTTCAAAGGAGAAGCTCAAAAATGGGGTGAAAATTGGGTCTGGAAAACCGCATTTTTCAGATTTTCAAGCTCCATAACTTTGTTCATTTTGAAGATACCGAGGATCTGATGACATGAATCGATTTGTCTCGTCGTCAGCTTTCCAGTGATATGAATTGTCAATCAATTGAGCTTTATCTAGAAGCTTCAGACAAACCTCGGCATATAACTTGTTATCAAGATCAGTTATCAGGGACTGAACAATATCATTCGAACCGTCTTGCGACGCTCTATCGATTGGTTATCATATCATTCATGTTGAGGGGAAAGCTGACATGTAAGCTGGGAATTTCTATGACGCCATACACTTTGATGGAAACTCTTCAAGTGCTATATCATTAGAAAGCTGATGATGAGACAAATCGATTGATCTAATCAGCTTCTCGGTATCTTCAAAATGAACAAAGTTATGGAGCTTGAAAGTCTGAAAAAAGCGGTTTTTCATACCCGTTTTTCACCCCGTTTTTGAGCTTTTCCTTTGAAAGTGATATGATAACACTACTATATCAAAGCTGCTCTATCGATTGATCTAGTTTAAACTTCAAAGTCACAAACTTTTTTTTGAGCTTTTCCTTTTTCGCGAGAAAAGTACACCGCAGCCCACCAAATGCATTTTACCTGACGCCAATTCAAATTTTTTTGGCAAACTTTGACGGCTTATATCTCGGCTCCCAGAGCAGCTACAGCTTATCTGATTATATCATTCGATTCGTCTTGTTGTCACCTTTCTAATGGTGTAGGTTAGCAACTGATTGAGCTCGGTCCAGAACCTTTAGACTCGCCACAGCTTATAACTTGCTATAAATGTAAGTTATCAGGGCTTGCAACATATCATTGGATTCGCCTCGAGACGCTTTATCGATTGTTTATCATATCATTCATTTTGAGGGAAAAACTGAGAACTTCTGTGACGTCATCCTCGATGCACTTGAAGTCCTATATCCTTGGAAAGCTGATAATGAGGCGATTCGTTTCAATCAAATACTTTCTTCTTGCTGTTTGTTTGTCTGTAGATCAACTTCATTGAAAAAAACCATTTTATTAAACACTTTATAACACATTAAATTTACCCAAAAACCATTCGACACGAAAATTTTCAGAAACCCGGTAAAACTTGTCTCGATCACGCCTTGATCCTGCAAAAGGGATAAAATCGATAAGTTGATCAGATCGGGACGAACCAATCGATAAAAAGCAAGGTAAAGGTCAGGACGATCAGGGCGAAAAGCATGATGACACGTCGGCTCGCCGAGTTGCTGATGGCCTGGAAAACCGCCGTGATCTTGACTTTCTTCAACTGTTTGTCACTAACGACGCTCTTCTGTTAACGCGCTATTTTCCTATTTTACGAGGGAGAAGAGGGCCCAGACACGTCAGACTGTTTCAAACCTTTCTGATCCACTCATTGCCATCGACAATATTCTCCGTAGTGTGCAGGGCCAAATCGTTGATCAGATCGATATCGCGTTCCTGGTCGAGAACCTGGAAAAATAACATATTTTTTTCTCAAAAATGGCCGTGCGGAAGTTCAAACATAGCGCAAATCTACGTGGATGTCTCTGCATCTCTAGGGTCTCTTCAGGCTTCAATTATCTCTAGCTTTGAACTCGTAGGAGTGCCATGTAAACTGTGGTTAATTTTCACTGTAGAGAGACGTCGGAAGAAGTTTCTTTGTTTCTCTAGAATCTCTTCAGACTTCAACTATCTCTAGCTTTTAAGAAAGCCAGGTAAAAAGATTTCTCTGCTTCTCTGATGTCTCTTCAGTTTCTAGCACTGTCTAACTTTTGAAGATTAAGCATGCAATCCTGATTTTTGTAAATGGAGCGCAAGGCTCTTTTTTTCAACGTCGGGGGAAAGTTTCTCTGCCTCTCTGGGGTCTCTTCAAGCTTAAACTATCTCTAGCTTTGAAAAAAGTCACATAATAAGATGCCTCTGCTTCTCTGCTGTCTCTCCGATTTCCAGCACTCTCTAACTAGTGGAGATTAAGCATGGGATCCTAATTTCTGTACTTGGCTATAGTTTCATTGTAAAAAACGTCGAGAGGTTTTTTTTGACTCTCCGGGATCTCTTCAGGCTTCAACTATCTCTAGCAGGTCTCTGCTTCTCTGCTGTCACTCCGATTTCCAGTGCTCTCTAGATTATTGTACATGTAGCGCGAGGTTATTTTTCCATTCAACTCCACTAAACGCCGAGGAAAAGCTTCTCTGCTTCTCTAGGGTCTCTTCAGGTCTTGAAAAATTTAGGAGAATCCTGTACCTTTTCCGAGAAAGTCATCTGCAGAGAGGTGATCTCGGCGATCTGCTGCTCGAGTCGGCCGATCTCCTCGTCGTGCTCCTGCTCGTACTTGGCTCTGAGGTCGTCCTTGTGCTTGAGGATTTGCTCGCGGAACTGTGGGCCTTGCTGCTGGCGCCATTCTGAGGAAATCAAAGGATTTTTAGAAAGTTCAATATAAAATATAAAAAAATTAGATGATACTTTTTATATGAGTTAAAATGAAGTCTCAGATACAGAGAAAGCTCTGTGCTTCCAAGTGAACCCTGAAGAAGCTCTAAAAACCCCTTTAGGGGCCACTTGAGAGCTCAAAATCGTCCGAAAAGACATTTGCAGCTTATTTTTATACTGTGATAAATCTCTGTTACAAATTTCTGAGTTGATTAATCAGGTCATCCTGTTCAGAGAATTCGAAAATGAGGTCTCAGACATCTAAAAGTCTCTGCGCTTCCAAGTGAACCCTGGAGAAGCTCTAAAACCCCTTTAGGGGTCACTTGAAAACTCAAAATCTTCAACGACACCTGGCGCTTATGTTACAGTGTAAAACGTTAACAAGTGATCACTTAAAAAACTAAAAAAAACCCCTTTAGTGGCCACTTAAAAGCTTAGAATATTCAAAAAGACACCTGACAGTGTCTCTGGTACAAAATTTTACAGGTAAAAAAATAAATACCATAAAAATAGTTGCAAAATCAGGTGGAAAGACCGTTTATCTCAAAATTCAAGACAAACCTTCAAACTCCTCCTTGGTACCATCGTCCTCGTCGGCGTAAATGTTCACATTTTGGTTTTTTCGTTGACGTGGCGCTTCAGAATCGTCCACGTCGAGTTTTCTCGTCGATTGAAGGCTTGGCCTTGTTTCTTCAGTTGGCTGAAAAAAGAAGAGATCACGTTGTTCTGGGATTTGTCATAACTTCGAAAAAAAAAACACTTAACTTGGAAATTGCAGAGTGGTCCCTATAGTGGTTGGGGGGAAAACAGTTCCTATAAAAGTCAAAAAAAAATGGTCCCTCTAGGGGTCTCTTAAAACTTGATCAGTTTATCTTATGTTGATATTTTTCACCCAAAAAAAACCTTTATTTACTGAGTTTTCCGCATGGATATGCTTCTTCTGATAGAGTTCATAAGATGTCTCCCTATAGGGACCACTTTTGCAAGCTTTAGGGGACCCTATAGGGGTTGGTGAAGTGGTCCCTAGAGAGGAACCCTCCAAGGAACCCTAAGGTAGCTCCTATAGGGACCACTCTAGAGTTCTCAAGAACTTCAAACCTTTACATACTAGGGAACTCCAGAAGGATCCCTATAGGGGGTCTCACTTGAGGCTACTTCACCAAATCCTATAGGGGCCACTAAATCTTGCAAAAGTGGTCCCTATAGGGGACATGTTAGTTTTATGAACTCTACACGAAGAAGCATTTCATGGGGGAAACTGAACAAATAGCCTTTTTTGAATGAAATTGAAAGACCTCTATAGGGACCACTCCCACGTATGTAAAGGTTTAAAGTTCTTTGGATCTCCAGAGTGGTCCCTATAGGGGCAACCCTAAGGGCTCTTGGAGAGCCCTCTCTGGGGGCTACTAAAGCTTTTAAAAATGGCCCCTATAGAGATTCTAGATAGTGGCCCCTATAGGGGACATTTTATGAACTCTACGCGAAGCATTCCTTTTTATTTATTTCTTTACTGTCAGAATGGGCGCGCCGTAGCGCAACAGGTTGTGTGCCTGTCTACGGTCCACAGGGTCACAAGTTCGATCCCCGCCCCGACCCAACCAAGGGGTTTAAGAAAAGTTGGTAGTGGGAAACCACGACTTCAAAATCCCCAGCCGTCACACACAAGGACGGATATGTCACTCGAGCCAGTCCACTGATTATCAGGATAGGACCTCGGCTAATCGACTTGGGGCGCCGACGCCGCTCAAGCGGTACAAAGGCGTAGGAAGAAGAAGAAGATTGTCAGAACAACGCAAATAATTAGGGTACAGATAGAAAGGAAATAATATAACATTGGACAGACAACAAAGCTAAGAAGGTCATATGGTGCCCTAACGAGCAGCATGGCGACCGTTCGCAAAATAGAAGAACAAAAAAAAAATGATAAACTATAAAAGACGATTGGGGAAGTTGATAATAAGTTCGCTAACAGCTATCCTAGATAATTTATCTTTTAAAGTTTTGGGGTGGCACGAAAAATTTAATTTGGTTATTAATGAGTTCCAAAGAGTTATATGACGCGAAAAGAAGTTATCTGATAATGAGCCCCTAGTTTGTAACCGAAGTGGATGTCTACCTAGCCGAGAGAAGGAAATAAAGTTGTCAATTGATGGAAAATGATCAATTTTAAAAACAATTTTATGGAGAGAGAATATATCAAGAAGAAGACGACGTTGAAAAAGCGGAAGAACATTGACTTGAGTTAATCTGTCATGATATGAAGTGAAGCTAAGATTGCATCTAATAAAAACTTCTCGAGAGAAGAACCGTAAGGAAATTTCTAGTTTATAAGATAGATCAGAGTTTAAAGGAGGGTAATTTCCATGGGGAAAAACGGAACAAATCACCTTTTTTGAAGGGAATTGAAAGACCCCTTTAGAGACCGCTTAGGTGCCAAGGGACCAGACTCTAAACCCCTCTAGGGACCACTTTTCGGCCACTATAGTGGCTCTTTTCTCCCTAACCCCTATAGGGACCAATCTAAAAATGCCTATGTGCAAAAATGCACAAAAAAAGAGCTGTAATGTTATTTTTACAAGATTTCTGCTAAAATATACGTTATTCTCCAAGTGCTCCCATCCTTCTTCGTCCCAGGCGTTTTCCTCATTCGTACTGCTCGGAATCTCGTACTCCTCGTCGAGACTATCATCATCATCTTCCTCATTTTTCTCCTCGTCGGGTTTCAGGAAATCGTAGCGCTCCTGTAGGGACTTCATCCCTTGGTAGACGGTTTCTGGAAGAAAATTTGGCATTTTATCATGAATTTTCAGTGGAAAATCTTCAAATATCAATTTTTCAATCATCCCAAGACAATAGAAAAATGCAACAGATCAAAAAGTTTCAAGGAAAAAAATAATAAATTGCGAAAAATCGAAAAATTTCAAGAAAAAAAGGAAAAATATTAGAAATTTAAGGGCATAACTTCCCATAAAATTTTTCTTTTATTCGCTTTTTTTTAAATCAGTATTCACCACTGATATGCTGCGACTGGTGCATCGAATCAAGACCTTCCAAGAATTTGAATTCGAATCCCTCTTTCTGAGCCTCTCTGACGATATCGGCCACGTCGCGGTTCCTTTTTTGGACCTCGCGAAGGTGTTCTCGTCTGGAAATTGACATTAAAGACGATTCACAGCTTGGGACGCAAAAAGGCGTGGCCTGTCTGCACTCTCCACTAGCCAGGGCACTGTCTCGTCTCTTTTCGTGGCAGGACCCTTTTCTCGATGGCTCAAGCCAGCCGTGAATCAGCAATTACCCTAGGTAAAACGAAAATATCAAGTTTGAGGCATAAAAATAGGTGTAGAATTCTTTAAAATTTCATTTTTGGATATACAGTTGACTCTATCTTTTTTCAATCAATTCCGATTCTTGTGAAATTTCCCAGGAATATTAAATTTGGCCCAATACGCGTTACTAAGATTAAAAAAATCTTTCTAAAGGAAGGAGATTTCAAAAAAAGGTCAAGAAACGAGATCCGCCAAAAAAACGTCCAAAAACCAACATTTTTTTGAAAAAGTTCGCTTCTTTGAAAAAAACATTAAAAAGTATTTTTTTCTTTGAAAAAAACATTCCAAAATAAATTTCAAAGCTATTTTCCCTTGTTCTACACGTTTTTTTTACCACTTGGCGCAACTAGAAAATTTATTTCCCGCCCAAGAACTGCCTCAAAAAAGTTGAGCAGTTTTGTAAAAAATTTTTAAAGTCCCTTTAGTTTTTTTTGAAATTCCAGTGCACTTTTAACTCTCGTAGGAACCCGATAAAATGCCATTTTGTTTCAATTTTTTTGGTATAATATTTTTTTATTTGAACTGAAAGGTTTGAAATTCTGGGAAAAAAAGGGCGTGAAAAAAATCGTGCCCAGAGAAATTTCGAAAAATTGGCGCGTTCGTTTTAAATGATTGGTAAAATTGGAATTCCGAGATTCTTTTTTTAAAAAAATCGGTATATCACGACACTTTTTACGGTAACTTTTACGTGCGGCTTTGAACTTTGGTTGGAAACTTCCAAATTGTTTCAAAATCTAGATTACGCGCGTAAAAGTCACCGTGAAATGTCAAAATAAATCGTTGTAAGACCCATTTTCAACGGCTCACGGAAATTTAAATTCGCCCATTTAAAAAAAATACGCGTCAATTTTGAAATAGCTTCGAACACAGCGTTAAAAATCGTTCAAAAGCAAAATAAATAAACTTTTTTTCTTGATTTATGATTAATATCAATATCAATTTGGAATTTTTGGATTTTTGATGCTATTTTTGGTTATTATAATAGGTTATAGACGATTCACGGCTAGTTGGGACGCAAAAAGGCGTGGCCTGTCTGCACTCTCCACCAACCAGGGCACTGTCTCGTCTCTTTTCGTGACAGGACCCTTTTCTCGATGGCTCAAGCCAGCCGTGAATCAGCTATAACATTATTGTCGACTCAGAATTTTCCGCTGTACTTTAATTTTCATGACCAACTTCAAGAGAGCGACAAAATCGGCCGTGTCCTTGAGATACGCCTGCAGCATCTCCACAACCCGGGTCAATTGTGTCCTTTCCGTCGAGTTTTTCAGGGCGTCCGTGTTGGAGAGCCGGACGGCCAGCGATTGGATCAACGTCTCGAATTGGATCAGGCCCTGTGAACTTGTAAAATTTCTTCTTTTAAAAATGTTCATTTTCGTCGAAAAATATATATGGAATCATTCAAGGACTGTTACTGTCATTTTTTTGAAGCGTAATTCAAAAAGTGGCAAATTCTTGAATTGAATCAATCCTTGTAAACTTGTAACATTAATTTCTTCTAAAAATCTTTCATTTTGAGAAAAAATTAATGTATAAGATTTTTTTGGGAGCTTTAATTTTGAAGCCTTATTCAAAAATGTGTTCAAAAAGACTAAAAAAACCATCAAAAAAAGTTTTTTTTAGTTGAAAAAAACGACATAAATTCTTTACAAAAAGACAGCTGAAATCATTTTTTTCTCAATAAAATCAATATTTTCGATCAAATCCAAGAAAAAAAGGCCTTCAAATCGTCAAAAAAATCTTCTCAAAAAAGTTTGAAACCGGTAAAAAAATTATATTAAATCAACATTTTCTCTCTCAAAAACAAAGATGGACTTTATAGTCAAATATATCCGTTTCCCGCACCGAATTCATTAAAAAAATCATCGAAATTGATTCGAAATTAACTCGAAATTCACAAAAAGGCCTTCAAATCGTCAAAAAAACCTTCTCATTCATCAAACTTCATACTCAATCGAATTTTCAAAGTATATTGGTCGTTTTTCGCGTTTTTATTTTGAATTTTACAAACAACCATACATGATTTTAGCAGTCAAAATATCAATTTCCCGCACCAAATTCGTTAAAAATCATCAAAATTGATTCGAAATTCACAAAACAGGCCTTCAAATCGTCAAAAAAATCTTCTCACTCATACAAATTCATGCTTAATCAAATTTTAGTGTTTTTTTAAAATAACAATAAATAATTTGAACAGGTAAATTAATCAATTTCCCACATCAAATCCATTGAAAATCATTAAAATTGATCCGAAATTCACGAAAAAAGCCTTTAAATCGTCAAAAAAACCTTCTCACTCCTCAAAATTCATACTTAATCAAAGTTAAGGATATATAGATGGTTTTTCGTGTTTCTAAAATAACGATACATGATTTTAACAGTCAAATATATCTATTTTCCGCACCGAATTCATTAAAAACCATCAAAATTGATTCGAAATTCTCAAAAAAGTCCTTCAAATCGTCAAAAAAACCTTCTCACTTATCAAAATTCATACTCAATCAATTTTTAAGATATATTGATCGTTTTTCGTTTTTCTGAAATAACGATACATGATTTTAACAGCTAAATATATCCATTTCCCGCACCGAACCCACTAAAAAACATCAAAATTAGCTCAAAATTCACGAAAAAAACCTTCAAATCGTCAAAAAAATCTCCTCACTCCTCAAAATTCCTACTCAATCAATTTTTAAGATATATTGATCGTTTTTCGTTTTTCTGAAATAACGATACATGATTTTAACAGCTAAATATATCCATTTCCCGCACCGAACCCACTAAAAAACATCAAAATTAGCTCAAAATTCACGAAAAGAACCTTCTCACTCATAAAAATTCATGCCTAATCAAATTTCCGGGTTTCTAAAATATTGATAAAAAATTTAAATAGTCAAACTAATCAATTTCAAATCCTCAAAAAATCATCATGAAACCAACAATTTTCAGCTCCTCGTCGAAATCCTCGCGTTCCTCTTGGGACATTTCCGAGTAAGGGGGCGCCGTAAAAATGTAATCCCGACTTTTTTCATCGATCAACTGGAAATCAAGCTAATCTAAATCAATTCTTTTATGCCACCTTTCTGAAATCGAAAAGATCCTTGGCGAGGGGTTTCGCGGCGGCCGAAATGCTTACATAAGCGGCGGACGGCCTTTCCGAAGGCCTGGGTTTTGCTGAAAATTTTTTTTTGGCCTTTCAGGAAAATCTTCTGAGCCTTTTAAACGATCTTTTGGGACACTTTTTTTTTGTTTTTAAACGAAATTCTCACGAAAAACAAGACTGGTTTTCCATAAAAGGATTAGAAATCTGCTATTATGTCGATTAGAAATTCTATAGTTATGACTTAGGAACTTCACAGTGGTCCCTAAAGCGGTTAGGAAAAAAAACAGCCAATTTCGGGGAAAAATATCTTCGCGCGATATCGCTGGCGATACATCGAAACCTGGAGAAAGTGCTGCTCCGGGTTCGCTCTTTCCTTGGCGCGACATCGCGCTTTTTCGATCTTTCCTCGGCGCGACATCGCATTTCTCTCTCCCTTTTTACGCACTCAAACAAATTATTAGAAAAATGTGAATTCGTTCCAAAAAACTGCGATATCGCGCTGAGAATTCGATGCAGCGACAAAACAGCAAATTTTGTCAATGTATCTCCAGCGATATCGCTTATCTCCCGCAGCCATTCTAATTATTTTCTTCCAACTAATCGGAAAAATAATCGATAAAAGACTCAAATTTGAAGCGGCTTTATTCAAATTTCGATTTTCTCATTTTTTTTAACGTCCTCAGAGTGGTCCCTATAGGGGTCCTTGGAGGGTCATCTCTAGGGCAAACTCTACTTATCGCTATAGGGGCCCCTAAAGGTTGCCAAATTCAGTTGAAAACCCCTATAGGGACCACTCTGGAACTCCTAAGACCGAACCAAGAATTTTTTCGGTTCATTAAACATCCTCAAAGGCCCCGTAACCTTTCGAAAATTCTTCAAAAAATCATCAAAACGAACCAATCTCCTTATTCCTCTTCAAATACTTCTGTTGGATCGCATTGGCTTCGGCTTTAAACTGAGCCGATCGGTCGACGGCATAAACCGTATTGAAAAGGTCCCGACGGTCACAAACCATCTGGAAAGTGCGAGCAGTTCGATTTTAATATCTAAAAACTTCGCTCAATATTCGATTAAAATTCGAGATTTTCTCGATTTTCCTATGCTAAACTCTACTAAAATGTCTTTTACAAAGCTTCCTGGTTGAACAAAAACGAAAAAAGGGGAAACAAAATCGAATGAGGAGGAAAACCCTAGCTGCGATTGACACGTCCTCCAACATAAAATTTATTTGCGACTAAAACACGAAGAAAATGAAATATGAATAGGGAAAAACTTGAGTATGTGTTAAATTCGAAGCGTATACCAATTCACAACACCGATTCGACATTTTTTTTTTGCTTTTTTTTTACTGGGAAAGGAAAACTAGTAGGAAATCAATATCTATGATACATTGTGGTCAGGGGAGGAAAAGTGAACGAACGAAAAATTTAGAATAATGAAAAATAGGATAATAATGGAGATAGAACTGCATCTAAAGAGACGTAGGGAATGGATGGATAAAATTAATGAATAAATTATATAATATGCGGGGCGCATCTTCTCGCTCTCTTTCAAAATTGCTTAGGTTCTGGGATATTTGGTCTTGTTTTATTTGCCGCCGGCCCAGAGGACGATGATGATGATGAGGATGACGACGATGGCGCACATGATGATCATCATCTTGATGTTCTTCCACCAGTACTTGCGCTTCAACGTCGCCGCCGACTTCTCGAACTGCGAGGCGCCTTCCTGAACCAGTTTTTCTTAGGGACATGTTTCAGATCTCTCGAAATTCGACAGTTTTCGAGTTTCTCTCTGTTCTCTCCTTACTAGGGGACGTTTTTTACCCCCGGTTGAGCTTTTGATGGAACTCTGCTGGAATGTACTTTAGGACCTCTGATTCCTGAACAAGAAAACAATTTCTAGTACGAGATCTTGTTTTCGAGTTATGAAGCTTTAAATTCCCTATTCCTGAGAAGGTACATGATAGCTTCTGCTTTCCATTTCTTAGTAGAGGTTCCGAAGGTCTCCAAAAAATGGTCGAACGCCTTCTACTTGCTTTAAAGAAGCCTGCTGGAAGGCTTCATTTTTTTTTAAACCTTCCAATAACCTTCTGAACCGCTTCCAAAGGCCTTTTAGTTTCCATTTACCTTCCCCGGGTTCGCCTGAGCTCATCGGCAAGGTCAGAGAAACAATAGTCTTTGCCAAAAAACAAGGAAAACTAAGAAAAGTTTTCAAGTCAAACTATAACCTTTCGAAGCTCGATTTTGAATATTCATGGTCGAAAAAATTTTTTAGGAACTTTTAAAGGCGCAAATAACATTATAAGTCTCGAGAAGCCCTTCCCAGTACTAATATAGCCCATCCAGTTTGTCACGACTTTTTTCCTCCAATCTACAGAACCCTTTTCTTCGATTTGGGCTTGCGCCTTTAAACCAGGCTAAAAATCCGTTATAATAAAGACGCATGCGCAGGACGAGCAATTCGAAGAAAATGGTTCTATAGCTCGGAGAAAAAAATCGTGACAAACATTGGATTTGAGTGATATTCAGAACTCCTAAACCTTAAAAGCACCCGGGTAATAGTCAACTACAAATTTAAAAAAATTATAAAAAAATTAAAGAATTCAATGAAAAAAATTGGCCCTTGATAATAAAAAAATCGTTACTAGTTCAACAATATTTTGTAAAAATTGAAGCCTCTAAAACCTATTTTTGAATGATAATTCTTCTTCGAAGCCATAGAGCACTCGTAAACAAGAGGGCGCTTAGAGAAAAACAAAATCCGCTCTCTAATTTTTCAACACTCTCCAACTTTGCAAGTTTCCGAAAATTCCAAAGTTTTTAAGGAATCATCTTTTTCCAAGTGCTACACTTTTCACCACAAAATTCTCAATTATCAATTTCTTCCCATTTTCTAACCTGCAAGGCGTCCGCGCGGTCATCGAGTTGGGACAGCTTCTGATCACGCTCCAGAACTTTCTCGACGTTGACCTGCAAGTAAAATCGATGAAAAAGGCTTTTGTTTCCTTAATTCATAAGAAAAGCTGTTAATCATCAAATTGTCAATCTAGAAGCTTCAAATTCTGAATTCAAATCGATTCCCGGGACTTTTTCAAAAATTTTCCAACTCAGAAACCAATGAAACACGATACGAAGCGCGTGGGACGTCATAAAACTTCAAAAATGTCGCGGGAATCAAGTTAATTCATAATAGCTTTGAGCTTGTTCAGAATTGTAATTTTTATATTATTCGTCACTTCCTGACTCAAATTTTAACTATGAGAGTTTAAAAAACTTATCAAAACAGCTATACAACTTCTAAAACCAACATAAAGCAAGAAACTAAGCCGAAAAGCCTGAAATGTCCCCCAAAATCCACCTGTCCACGTGAGAAAAAGCACCCGTTTCAAACTTTCTCCTTCTCAAAACCTGTTGTGAGCAAAGTTAAGCCTTTAATCTATAAGAAGCCACGAAAAAGGAAGTAAAACTCGCTCCATCTTCACTTAGCTGATAAATTTGCAGGGAAGGGATCAAATATTATAGAGTCAAGGTTCATAATTCGTGCTATAAAGAGACAATAGTTCATTCAGGTCATTAATAAACTACGCTTTCATTTATTTATTTCTTTTGATCAGTTAATTTAAAGTTTTTGAGGCTCGGTACGTATGAGAGGTTCTTTTTAAAAAAATTGCTTGATATTTTGATATTTTTTTAGTGAAATTAAAAAAATTTTTTTAAAAAATAGTCTTCAAAACACTCCAGTCATTTTTTTAACAAAAGGAAGACTGTTTTTCTTCCCCGGTGCACCAGCCCCTCAAACTGGCGCTCCCCCGCCCCATTTTCATGATGCCGATGACCTCATCAAACTGCGCCTACGGAACTTCTGTCTTTCATTTTTTTTTTAAATACCTAGACGTCACAGTCCTACCCTTTCCCGAAAAGGTTGCATTTTAACCATTCATCTTTTTTTTTTTTTCTGGTACACCTGCTCCTCAAACCGGCGCTTCCCCAGCTCACCTTCACGATTCCGACGACGACATGCCCCTTCCCTCTTTTTTTTTTAAATACCAAGACTTCCCAGTCATACCCCTTCCCGAAAAGGTTGCATTTTAAGTATTCATCACTTTTTTTCCCTGGTGCACCCGCCCTCAAACCGGCGCTCCCTCACCTTTATGATGCCGACGACCTCATCGACCTGCGGAATTTCGCTCGTTTTTTTGAAAAAAACCAAGACTTCCCAGTCATACCCCTTCCCGAAAAGGTTGCATTTTAAGCATTCATCATTTTTACCCGGTGCACCCGCCCCACAAACCGGCGCTCCCTCACCTTCATGATGCCGACGACCTCATCGACCTGCGCCTGGGTCTGCTGCAGACGTTTGTTGGAGGGACGAGGCCCTTGGCTGCCTCCTTGAGCTCCGGCGTCGCCTCCTTGCGCTGCAATATATCGAAATTTCGCGTCATTCTTCTTGAAAGGAACGTTTCGAAATTATTTCGACGAAAAGGGCTCAAAAATTCGACAAATTAAGATTTCGTTTCGAAATTTTTCAGGGAAATTTTTTTTCTGAAATGCTCAGTAGTACTTGTGGAACGAAAAAAACCATTCAGTTTTTTTTAATCGTCATTTTTTCTCAAAATTTCAGCAATATTGATCAAGAAATTTTTAAAAACTACCAGAAGGTGAGCCCAAAAAAAAAGAATAATTTCAAGTTTTTTTTTATTAAATTTTTTCAAACACTAAATACTTCATAGCGTTCTAGCCCATTTTTTTTCCTTTTGTTTCTGAAAAAAAAAATATTTTTCCATAATTATGCCCTTTTCCTCACATTAAAATATTAAAACTAACCGTCCATTGTAGATTTTTAGATGTTGGTCGGAAAGCAAAAGGGAAAAGCCGCGCTGGCGAAAGGCCTGAAATTGGGCGAATTTTCGAAAACAAACGCATAAAAATCGTAAAATTCGAATGCAGCGAAAAAAGCTATGAATTCGAGATGAGCTTGAGATAAAGATGGGGTGAAGAGGGAATTTTTGGAAAAAACGGAGGTTTCAAAATCTTTTTGGCGGATGAAAAGAGCAAAAAAGATTCTGAAGCTTATAGCAATTCCGCTAATGACGATCATTTTTCTATAGAAGGCGAAAAAAGTTGGAGATTATGGCTCGAATTTGTCGAACGTTACGGCCTTCCAATTCTTTCAAGAACCACAAAACTTCTATAGAAACCACAAAAAATGACAAAAGTTGGTATAAAACATGGAAAAGTCAACGAAAAACTGTTTATGCCACATACTTTCATAAACATAACGGCGGAAAACAAGAGCGAATCGATGGGAAAATGTGACACGGACATAAAAATCGATGAATCACGGTCCGTTGCGAAACGAAACAACGGGGAACACCATCGGATCAGCCGAAAAACAGTCGCGGCGAACTTTTCTTTCTTTCTGTTTGAACAGAAATTAAGAGAGAGAAAAAACCTCAAACATCAAATAAAAGTAAAACAACAATCAAAAAATCTTTATACCTATTAAAAAACAAAATGTTCAAAAATTTCAATTTGGACACATGAAAAACATCAAAACGAAACACGACACGTTTCACGAAACAAGAAAATTGTTTTCGTTGACGTGAAAAGATGAAATCACTTGAGGGGCGCCTTGAATAGTCCACTGGTGCGTCATTGCTTGCGACAAACGTTCATTTTATTTTTATAATTTCAAAGGAACTGAAAAATAATCCAAAAATAAAAAGAAGCATCTTGAGATATTTCAAGTGAACCAATGAAAATCATTCAAAAAAAGAATTTAAAAAAATTCAGAAAAACAATAAAAAAATTAATGAAACTGCAGAGAAAAGCATAATTTTAATGAAAAGAGGAATTTTTTGTTGAATTTTCAAAGAACAACAACTCTTAGCGTACATAATCTCTGTTGAAAATTGCTTCGAATTCAAAAATATTAATTTCCCATGCTACAGACACAAGGAAAGGGTTAAAATTCCACGAGAAAATCGGCTCGAGCTCAAAATCGACAAAACACACACACAAATGATGAATCTAACCAACAACAAAACGAAATTAGCTCTTTTCTCGAACAAGAAATAAGCTGTGGAGCTGGTTGGTGGGCGAAAAAAAAGGAGGAGGAGGACCATGGATTTGCTAGGCCCCCTGGAGCGGAAGTAGAAGCGGCGGAGGCCTTCTCGGCACACACACACGCACAGAATCGATGCAAAAATTCGGGACGAGAAGAAAAAAAAAGCAGGGGAAAAGGGGGGAAAAGCTCGCTCCAGGCGCAAAGATTGAAAGTCAAAAAAGAAACGTTTCGAAATTTTTTATTTTGAAACAATGAAGACTTCCAAGTTTTTAAAATCTAGTTATTTTTCCTGATTTATCACAGTCTATCGAAAGCTGGCTTATGGTCAAAAATCGATTTTACGCAAAACCTTAAAATTTTCAAAAAATGGCTTTTTGAAAAAAATAGTATGAAAATATAAGAGGGTTTAGAGTAAAATGGGGGTTTTTTTTTTTGGTGACAGTGGAAAGACCTAAATAGATACTGATGGCTTTGAACTGATATGAAATTCAAGGGACCACTTAAAAGGTGAGTCACTCAAGAAACGTTTTTTCTAGAACTACAGTGAAACATTTCGACGATTCTACCTCTGAAAAATTCCTTAAGTGACCACTTTCTGAACTCGAAGCTTTATTTTTCCGCCTTTGTTGCTTAACCATCAAAATTTTGGCTCAAAAATATTTCAAAAGAATTTTTTTACCCATAACTCGCTTAAATTAGCTGGCCAAGTGGGGCGTGAAAAACAATGAACAATGAAATGAATAGGCGCGTTATTGTCTGTCGCTTCTAATAAATATGAAGTAGTAGCCTTTTTCTGTCGAAAAGGTTCTATTTTTCGCTTAAGTTACTCTTTTTATTCATGAAAATAATGAGTAGGAAGCCTAGTATTACATTTTTATCGTTTCAATAAATCTTGGTTCGATTGGGAAGTCTCGAAAGATGATATCTCGACAAGAAAGGAACTTCTATTTTAAATTTTGAAGAGTGAACAGGAAAATGGCGAGATTTGTAGTGAAAAATAAGGGCACGAGGCAGTAAACTTCCAAAACAGTGTAAGGAATCTTCTTTCATGGGGAACAGGTTCAAATTGTTGATTTTTTTCATGTTTCTTTCACATTTATTTAAGGAAATTACGTAATATTTGAATCACAAAAACTTAGGGTGTTTTAAGAAGCCTTAAAGATTATTGTTAGGCGTAACATTTTTTTAAGGCCTTTAAAAAATCCTGAAAACTCTGGAATATGAATTATGAGGTCCTTTTAAAGTTTGAAATGATTCACGACAACTTACAGAATTTTTAAAGGAGCATGCTTGGAAATTTAAAAATTAAAATTTCGACACGAAATAGCTTTTCAATCGATGCGCCTTCAAAAATCCAAAAAATCGCGATTTCAAGAACAGATCTTAAGAACGAACAATTCTGAATTTGACACACTTTGACTCATATTGTGGCCATAAAAAAACAAAATTGAAAAAAAAAACAAGATAAAATTGTCGCCGTCGTCACTAGAAGACGTGAGAAGTGTAAAGTAAAGGAGACGGAGAAGATGAAAACGAGGAATCGGTTGCGGAGAGTCCCCAACAATTTTTTTTTTCTTCCCTTTTTCTTCTTTCCTGGCGCGGGGCGCCGTCGCCGCGATCGATGAATGACGCGCGACGCGGCGGAATTTCGCCGCTCACCCACTTATGTCATTCATTCTCCATGGGCTCTTTTGAACGGCTAATTGCCTTCTCATTTGCGTATCTCCACATGTATTGCTGATTGAAAAACGTGGGCAAATCCCTTTTTTCGGAGGATTTCGCTAAGAATCTTTTTTTTTCTCGGAAAAAATAAAAAAAATGTTAAATATGAAAAAAAGGAAACTTACGAAAAACATTAATATTTTCAAGTTTCAAGACTTATAATAAGATTTTTAAAAAAATCCTTTTTGCTTCTTTTCACATTTATATGCTCATTCAAACAACAGAAAAAAACAAATTAAAAAAATACTGTCGCGTTAAAAATTAATTTCGGCTAAAAAAGGAGTGATATCTGGCTTTTCAAAACCTTCATAATCTTTCTCACTTTCCGAAGATCATTTCTATTTCGCCGCGACAACTTTGAATAAATATTGAACGAAAAAGGCGAAAATCACAAATTAAAAAAACCAACCTTCTACAAGCGTTTTTTTCTGTCTCCTACGTGAACAAATTATAAAATGAAGCTGTCACAATCGAAACAGCATAAAGTTACACAAAAAAATAACAGAAAAACTGAAAAATTAAGCTCCATAAAGTGAAAACCAGAACTGTAGAGAAGAGGCGTGAATTAAAATGCACAGCGTGTGCAGTGCACAGTGTCTGCGGTTCCAAAGACCCTACAGTAACCGACAAAGGCGGAAATGGAGTTTCTCCGCTCGAATATATTTACACGGGATGCATCACCTTGCCCGGAAACTCATTGGACTTTACAATGAGGTGAATAATTTCAAGGAACGCATCGAGGAAAATAAAAACTAAGGAACGAATAACAATTTATGGGCTTCAAAACTGGTCAAAGTGTTCATGGCGGATTTCCTCGCAGAAGGAGGTCGTTGAATTGGAAATGTTGAGCTCGAAGTCGTGGTACCGCTTGAGGGACTGTCTGTGGCCCACGGAGACGTAGTTGATGTTGTGCTGCAAGTTTTGACTTTTATTGCAAAGGGAAAAGAGATTCAAACATTCTGAAGGACGTGGTACATGATTTGTTCGAGGTTCTCATCGACTTGGCTGCAGGCTTCGTCGATGAAAGCCAAAGTTGGCTTGGCGAGGATCATACGGGCGAAGCAGAGACGCTGCTGCTCGCCAGGGGAAAGGGTGTCCTGCCTGGAAGGATCGAGTAATTTCGTGAAGGAAAATATTGTGAACTTCGGTTAATTTTTGGAATAGGTATAAATTTCAGGTTAAATTGCTTATCGTAGAGCAACTCTAATTGCGAGCATTTTTAGTGGCCCCTTTAGGGCCATTCTGGAAGTAGAACTATGGTCACTTAAGTGGCTAAATTGAGTGGCTTATTTAGGATTTTGAGCTGTTCTTCGGCCTCAAATATACTGTAGTGGCCACTTTAGGGTTCTGACGTTTCAGTGAGCTCTATAGTAGTCGAATTAGTGGCCACTTAAGGGAAGAAAATTTAGTGGCCTCTTTAGGGACTCTAAGTGCAACTGGATTACTGAAAAATGCTATAGTGGCCACTTCAGGGTTTTGACGTTTTTGTGACCATTTAAGGGAAAAAATTTAGTGGCCTTTTTAGGGTACTACTAGACCACTAAGGGGCCTAAAATTAGTGTCTTATAAGGGTTGTATAGTGGCCACTTTAGTGTTAAGTAGTTCTTGTGGAACCTTTCGAGTGGCCACTAGAGATTTATTTCAGAAGAACATATTTTTTGAATTTTAACTTCAAACTCAGCCCATCTTCCTTACAGTCAAAGGACTTCAGTTTTCCTTCCTCGTAATGAAAATCGAATTTTCAAAAAAATATGATCCGTAGAGCGTACTTGCCTAGACTCACTTAGCACAGAAAATCTGATGATTCTGATTCCAAAAATTTCTCAAAATTCTACATAATATATAGCTTGAATCATTGTCCATTGAGCGCACTTGTAACACCATTCTGAAACCAAACCATTCAAAGTCAACGGGCTGGTTGACGTCGCCACACATGGCGAACAAGTGCGACAGCTGCACCGTCTTCAGAATCTCGATGATGGAGTCTGAATCAGAACTTTTTCCCTTCCAGTGCTCTTTTTACCAAACCAATAGGAATCTTCGGAGTGTCCACCTCCAACGAAGGGAACTCAAGTTGCTGTCTCAAAGAGAGCCGCCCGACCGGGAAGTAAGGTCTTTGGGGCAAGAAGTAGACCTCCTCGTCGGCAAAGTTCCGGTCGATCTTTCCTGAAGTCCGAACTCAGTCTTGGAGCTTGATCCAACTCGACCTGCTTGGTGAGGCCAGAGCTTGGCGATGGTTCGGAGGAGCGAAGTCTTGCCGACGCCGCTAGGGCCGGTGATGAGAAGCGACTTGTTGGAAGGTACGTTGAAGGAGAGTCCTGGGAGTGGATTTTTGAACCAGGATTTCCAAGAACTTTTTTTTCTACACCTCATACTCCTCTGTTTTAGAGAATCTTGGTCGCAATTGGAATGGCTAATTGACTTTTCTGAAGTTTTTCGCAAAAAAATGACCAGAAGATGCTCAGAATTCGATCAATTTCGGATCTAATCTACTCCTTTTTTTAGTAGCCACTTTAGGGTTTTGACGCTCTAGTGGTCCCCTAAAATTAAATGGCCTGTCCAAGGTCCTTGTAGATGCTCTTAAGTGGTCCCTTAAGTGACAAAAAATGAGTGACCTCCCCAAGAAGTCCTTGAGGAACCTTTTAACTGGTCACTTCAGGGTTTTTAAGCTCTAGTGGTCCCTTAAGTGGCTAAAATTTAGTGGGCTTCTCAAATAACCCTTGAAGAACCTCTTGAGGGGAAACTTAAGTGACAAAAAATGAGTGACCTTCCCAAGAAGTCCTTGAGGAACCTCTTAAGAGGCCACTTGAGTTTTTTTTTCTTTTTTTTTCGAAATATTGCCAAGAAGATAACTGGACACCAGTTCAAACATGAAGAAGTTAAGCGAAGAAAACTGGCGAAAGTTCTAGTGGTCACTATAGGGTTTTGACGTTTCAGTGACCACCAGAGCAGTCAAATTAGTGACCACTTAAGCGACTAAAACTTGATGGTTTCTTTAGAAGCTTACTACTAGACCCCTAAAACCACTATGGTGGCCCCTCAGACGAAAATTAGTGACCTCTATAGAGGTAGCTTTAGTGTGCTCTCCAATTAGCCCTTAAGGGACCCCTTAAGCGGCCATTAGAGTTTTGCTTCCCTGGCTGTGTCGAAGGCACGTGTCCTAATTGAAAAAAAGGAGATTTTCAAAAATTTTCTGGCAGCTCCTCACCGGCGATGATTAGAGATTGAGGCTGAGTTGGAGCTCCAAAACAAAGGTCCTGAACGACCAGAAGATTGTCGGACTTCTTGCTCAGGCCGGTCCTCGTCTCCAGGCTGGAGATGACCTCCGTGAAGCCTTCGTTCGACTCGCTGTAGACGTGCTCCTTGGCGTGGTCCACTAGTTCCGTCACCCTAAGTTCCGAGTTGATCGTGTCAAAGTTCGGGCTCTAGAAGACCTCATGACGTAGCCGCCCAACTCGCCAATGTTCATCGCCAGATCCGTGAGCCTCGTGAAGCAGTTGATCAAGTAGATGAAGTAGAAGGCGTTCTGAAGGGCTCAGAATCTTCAAAATGTCATACCGTGGTCGCATTTGGAATGGCTCAAGGTGTGCGATTATTTTTCTACTGGCTCCAGTTATACACCTAGAAGTTCAACATATTTTTTGAGGTGCTGTCAAAATGGAGTTCTTCAAATTCTTAAGTAAAATAGGCCCAAACGCGCCTTACAAAGCCCTATGAAAAATCATTCAAAAGTGAATTTATCCCTTGATCGGATGGTACCTGGATCAAAAAATTGCAATAAGGTACCTACAAAAAAATGGAACCTTTCCTTTATCTAATGATCCATCTATCATTGGGATTGATCAAAATCGAAAATAATTATGATTTTTCCAAACTTTTTTTTCTCAAGCCCCGATTCCAATTTGTATGGATCTTACAGGATCGAGTTTTGTATCGTTCGAAAGCCAAGCTTTTCTTCTATCGAATGATACTATTTTCATCCTAGTTGAGTGAGATCAAAGGAAGTTATGCCGTCACAATGAAATCCTGATTTACAAAAATTGGACTTTTCTCTATCTAATGATACATCTATCATTGGGATTGATCGAAATCGAATGATGACTTGATTTTTATTTACTTTTTTTCAAAGATCGGGTTCAAATGGGTAAATTTCGGTTTGTATGGATCCTACAGGATCGAGTGTGGTATTATTCGAAAGCCAAGGTGTTCCTCTATCGAATGATACTATTTTCTTCAAAAACGAATAAGGAAGTTACGCGCGCAACTCCTTTCAAGTCGGCCATTGAGCCATTCCAAATGCAACCGTAGGGTTACTAACATTACTGATTTGTTGAGACAAGTGTCCAGGGTCCAGATTCTTGTACATTCCGAAGACGAAGATCGGGAAAAATTGGATGGCGTAGGACAGGACTCCGCCGTAGTAGTCGAAGAAGTATTGGAAGACTGAAGGAAAAAAAATAATTAATTCAAATTTTTTCTTAAAAGTTTAGGTATGGGATCTTTAATATGTGATTTGGACAAAAATATTCGATATTTTTCAACTTTTTGCTTTTTTTTTAAACTTCACCCATTCAATGATGATATAGCCGATTCAAGGCTAGCTTGGGACACTAAGGGGGCGTGGCCTGTCTGCGCTCTCCACCACCCAGCCACTATTTCTTTTATTATCGTGTCAGGACCCTTTTTTCGATGGCTCAAGCGAGCCGTGAGTCAGCTAAGTCTTCTCAAATCTTCACCTCAAAAATGGGTCATATTCTGTTTTTTTACTGCACCCTTTTTTTCTTATACTTATCTATCTCATGCGATAATTTTTTTCAAAACTCTCCGATCAATCTGGAACTTTGAGAAAATGTTCAAAAAAAAATCTTTCGACGTTTATAATTGGATTGGAGGTCAATCGAACACCTGGTTCCAAGGTCAAAAGCCCCCCAAAAAAATGCAAAACTGTCGAGAATTCGATGAAACTTGTTATATATAAAACCTTAGAACACCCTGATCCCAAATAAATGGAAAAAATGCATTTTCGTCATCTACTGAAGACATACAGTACCGTCAGAAAAGAAACTAAAAAAAATTTTTTTTTCAAAACTTCCAACCATGAATCTCCTTCTTTCTGAAACTCTATAAAGCTGCATTTTTTTCTGCGATCTGAAATTCTTCTAGAGTGTAAAAATTAACAGTCCACCCAACTCCAGAAGGTTTCAGGAAGATCCACCACTTATACTCCTAAAGAGGTCACTAGATTCTAGCCACTTAAGTGGCCACTAAAACATAAAACACTTGAAATAGCCATTTAAAAAATAAAAACCTCTGGGAAAATTTTTAGTGGCCACCATAGGACTTTGACGTTTTAGTGGGCACTATAGGAATCAAATTAATGGCCACTTAAGGGGTTGAAATTTAGTGGCCACTATAGAGGTCAATGGATCAACATAACTGTTCCAATCTGTTTGTTTTAAAATTATCAGAGTTACTGGAAGGATTTTGATGAAAAACTACTGAAGTGGTCACTAAATGAGAGCCTCTATAGTGGCCACTAAAACGGAAAATAGTGGCCACTATAGAGGTGGGTTTAGTGACCACTTTAGTGTCATCTCTAAGTATTCCTTGGCGAGCCTCTTAGTGGCCACTTAAACGACGAAACCCTAAAGTGACCACTATCAATTTTCCTAGTAGTGGTCGTTTTTGTTCTGAACTCTATAAGAAGCACCATTTCTTCGTAAATTTACTTCCAAAAAATTCAAAAATGTGCTCCTTTTGAAGCTTTTTCAACTTATAAATCCACTAATTCAGAAAAATTACACTGTGAAGGGAACTTCCAGATGATGAACCACTTGAGTCGTTGGAACAGAACAGCGAACGATTCTTCAGAAGCGAACTTTTCGTACTTTTCAGCTCGATACATGGCCGATTCTTCGGCATTATCTCGGACCGACACGTGTTTGTACCTTCAGAAAAGTTCTTATTTTCGATTTCAAGTCCTGGCTCACCTAAAGTCTCCTTCGCTTTTCTCAACTCGAGCCGCCCATGGGGTCAGCGGAGAGATCAAGATTCGATTGATCACGACGCCGATCAGAAAATAGACCACCACCATGCCGACTCCCCAGCCGCCGGCTCTGGAAAGTTTCGTTCTGGTTTTTCCTTTGAAATTTCGAACGTTTGCCAAGTGTGGACAGAGTAGTAGGTGATGATGAACGGTGAGAGAAGAACAACCGGCAGAATATTGGTGGCGAACAGTTTGGAGAGCTTGTCGGCGTCCTGGGTGATACGCTGGTCACTGGAAATTTTTATTTTTCGAAAACGTTTCGCTAAAAATTTTTTTGAGGATAAAGCTTATGCTAAGTTGTCTGCGGCTAGAATGTTCTTGGTCGCATTTGGAATGGCTCAAAGCGTCGCGGTCTCTAGGAAGCCATCGTCTTGCTGTGTAGTCTGTTCAGTTTTTGAATGTCAAGTCGTCGCTCAAGCTCCGCCCCTATTGGAGCGATAAACCAATCAGAGAGCGAGCCATCCACAGAGCATTTTCGAATGACGTCATTGTACTTACTTATGGACCATCAAAGTAAGTAACTAGGTACAATGACGTCATTCGAAGATGCACTGTGGATGGCTCGCTCTCTGATTGGTTTATCGCTCCAATAGGGGCGGAGCTTGAGCGACGACTTGACATTCAAAATCTGAACAAACTATATGCCTTCCTGTCACGGCGTTTTTGTTAGTGGAAGAAAATGCGAAACCAAAAACACGGTGGGCGGAGCCAAAGCATCCGCCGTTCCCACGTGACGTCATGGGCAGAGATTTCTGCCAGAGGTCTTTGAATCGAAATTTCTCTACATCGCAGTGCATGCACACGACACACGACACTTTACGGAGAAAAAGTGGGCGTGGCGTCGTCGAAAAAACGCCGTGCTGTGCCCCAAAGCGCAAGCCGTTTTGGGTCGGTTTTAAAGAACAAATGTTTGACTTATTCTACTTGCATGCACGGTCTTCCAAGTTGAACTTTTGGCAAATATAATAACCCTTTTCTAAGTTTTTTGCGGCAAGAAACTTCTTGGTCGCATTTGGAATGGCCCAGAGCGTCGCGGTCTCTACAAAGTCATAGTATTGCCCTCACTCTCCCATATGCAAAAGCACGCAAGTCGTTTTGGGTCGGGTTTGTTTTTAGGTATAAAAGTAAGTTTACTGCGGTAAGAAACTTCTTGGTCGCATTTGGAATGGCTCAGAGCGTCGCGGTCTTCAGAAAGCCATCATCTTCCTCTAGAGCTGTTATATGCTCCACTGCGCAAGTCGTTTTGGGTCGGGTTTGTTTTTAGGTATAAAGGTAAGTTTTTTTGCGGCAAGAAACTTCTTCTCGGCAGGAATTATGCTCCGGGCAGACCCTATCTGGGATGCGGCCTTTAAATTTTCGGTGCTTTTTCTCGCACATTCAGGGGCACAACCGAGCGCGGAGTCAGTTTTTTGCGCAATGACCTCGAGAGTGGAGTTTTCAAAATTCCGAGTCAATTCAGTGCAATTTCAGGGGAGAAATCGAGCGAAAAAAGCGAATCTAAAATCTGTAATTTTCTCAAATTCAATTCTAAAGTTTTATTTGGTAGATATTTTAAAATTAAATGGAAACTCCTGCTATCGTAATAGCTTACTTCCCGCACCGTATTTGCGCCCAATGGGAATAGGTTAAGCCCCGTTGAAATTAAATTTTTTTTCCCATGCAAGTTGAATTTCGTGGTCAGCACTGTGCAGCCTCTCCTTTCGCACGAAAAAGACTCGAAAATGTTACGGGTTGTCACTATCACTTGCAAAGTGCAAAAGATGGGAAAAAGAGAGCACTTCTGGGGGTTGCACCGGGCCGAGGTATCTGCCGAGTTGGTCGCATTTGGAATGGCTCAGAGCGTCGCGGTCTTCAGAAATTCATTATCTTGCTCTAGTGCTGTTCTATGCCTCACCGCGCAAGTCGTTTCGAGTCGGGTTTGCTTTTAATCAAAGCTTTAACTCAGCGACGTGCATTCACGACCTTTACGGCAACAACAATTGCTCTTCTGAGCACTTCTAGGGGTCTCTTAAGGGTTCTGACGCTACTATAGTGGTCCCTAGAAATGCTATAGTACTTCCGGATAGCGTTACCAAGGTCCAAGCTGAGCAATACTGATTAATACGAAACTAACGGATTATCGATCCCCTCGTTGTCGATCCCATTGAGCTTGTAGTACAAGTTGCGGCTGTAGTACAACTTGTGAAGGGATCTGACCAAATTCCTGCGCAACACCAGGTACAGACACCACGAGAAGAACGTCAGGGTCGCGTACAGCTAAAGTTCTCTTTTTCAAAGCTTGAGAGGAAGAAAAATCACCAGACAAAGGCCCAGGTAGGCCAAGGAGGCGATCCAGAACTCGTGCCAGAACTTGCCCTCGTCTCGTTCCAACAGGTACAGGTAGAATTTTCCGGGGATCTTTCCAGTTTTATAGTTCACGATCTCATCTGAAGGAGCAATACATTTTGAAATTTCAGAGAAAGTCGATAATATTTCCATCTCAGAAATTTACAGCGGCCAAATTTCACACATTGTGCAAAAGGTCGAGATATTGGAATTTGATGAAACTTGGTATATAGCTACTTTCTAACATCCTGATCCCATAGAAATTGAGAATAAGTTTTTTTTTTTGGTTCTAGTCGAGTTATGGCGCCTCAAAATTTGAAAATGCATTAAGTGAAGGGAGGGAATCTATTGCAGCGGCACGCTCCAGCTGCCAGCAGGTGGCGTGGTGTAGTGGCTAGAGAGCCTAGCGCTATAGAACCAATAGTGCTGGTTCGAGTCCTCTCCGGAGCAATTCATTTTTGCCAATTTTTTCCTTCGAAAAAACGATGGATTTTTGAAGATGGAACGCGAAATATTGGATTTTATTTCGTTTTGAGCGAAACACTCTTTTTTAAAGAGCTACCTACCCAAAAATTCATCAAAATGATGATAACACGAGAAACTTCTTGCTGAATAAAATGATATTTTCTACTCTCCATCCTTCAAAACTCGACCAAATTTGCTACAAATCGAAAAATTGCTCACTTCCGACGGCAGCGGCGACGGTGAGGACGGTGAAAAGGAGGCCAAGTTCGAGGTTCGAGTAGAGCAACGGGAAAAGCCGGAACAAGTTGTAGAAGACTCGGTAGCCGAAGTGGAACTTCTTCTCGGCAACTTGAAGTCGTCCCATTTTTATTTGTTACCCAGTTTGCCTGAAAATCGGTTTTCTTCTTTGGGGTGAGGGTGTATCCTGCAGTGAACCCCAAAAGGAGCGAACTTTTCGTTGATGTTATCGGTGCACCCCGCGCTGAATGGCGCGCACCCCGAGTTGGATGGCGTACACCCCCGGGGCTACCGGTCGGAAATAAAAAGTTTTTTTTGAACTACTGTAACAGCCTAGGATGAAACTGTAGAAATTGGTGATATTGAGAAATAAAACGCTTTGAAATCGTGTACGGAATAGGCTTTCAAAGCTAAACGGAGTACACCCCTGGTTACCCTGCGGGGTGCACCTTAACTTTTGTTAGAGAAATTTCTTGCTGCGTGTACAAGATTTTTTTTTCTCAGGACCCAAAAATCGCCTGCAAAGGGTTTTGCCTAGTCTTTCTACCCTTTTTCAATTCTATTTCTATAAAACTAATGAGCAGACTACATACTTGGCAGGACAATAATCAATCTTGCAGTTGACGGGAACAAAAAGTGATAAGGAAAAGCATTGGACAGGGCCAAATTGTTCTGGAAAACTAATTTTAGACCCCTCATTAATAAATCAAGTCAAGTTAAAATCAAAACCAGATACAGAATATCAAATTTTATCCCTTACATGGGAGGTCATTATACCCTAGGGTTCAGAATTTTATAAATTTGCTCTGTCCGTGAAGGAAGAGCGTTTTAGAAAGAAAATGACTATAGAACTTCTTTGGAAAGGTTTTACTCATAAAATTTTAATATTCTCATCAAAATTCACGAAAAAAATAATGGCGAAAAAAAAGCCAGCGGCAAAAGGATTTGAACCTTGATCATAGACTTCGCAGGGTATCACGCTAGCCACTGCACTACGCTCCTAGCTGCCATGCAGTGGCTATTGGCGCGGCCAGATTCCTTCCAAACGGCATCACATCGATAAAAAACTTTGAAAATTATATCCACAAAAATAGAATTTCGCGCAGATAGCGACTATGGGGGATCGGCTCCGAGAGATTCAAAGATTTTTTGAGCAAATTTATAGAAAATTCTGAACCCATGTTAAATGACTTGAGTCCACCTTTTTCATTATGCCGTGTTCAATTTGATTCCGCGAAATGCGAAATACCCGTTAGAGAAATGAAAATATCACTAGATTTTGGAGAGCCAGAGATCATTTTGCATTTCGCGGAATCAAATTGAACACGGCATTAATTTTCGTGGTTTAGGACCTTTATTTCCACATGAATTACTTGAAAATCAACAAAAGCTATCTTAAAAAATCGTTTGAATTCATTTTCAAGCGTATTAACGATGCAGACTCCTGTAATTATGGGAAATATTGAAAATATTCAGAAAAAGGCCGAATTTCCTCACAGGGTGCTACCAAATTTCCTCACTAAAATGCAAGAAACTTGGAATAAAAAGCAGTTTTTTCGCTTTCCAAGGCTTAGAAAGCACCTTGATTTATTATGACCTTAAACATTTCACCTCTAGGACCTCAATTGTCAAAAAAAAAAACCTAAAAAATGTTTTCCAACTCCCTAAAAAGGCTCGAAAAGTACAAAAACTTCAAAACCGAAAATTATCTTTCATTTGCGTCTTAAAGCAGTCCAACTGCCAGCACTCCAGCCACCAAAGCCCGGTTTTATACACACATTTAGCGACGAAAAAGATATTATCACTGACAAAGAAGCTTTACAACTGATAAATGTGGCGAGCAGAAAGCGCGCGAAGAACGACCAACTTTAGTCTAAGCCGTCACGTGGCGGGACCGATTATCACTTTCTACGGTACGAGTTGAGCGTTTTTTGGTCGGAAATGCGAACAATTTTAGTGACCACTTTAGGGATGCACTAATTCGACTACTTTAGTGTCCTTTAAAACGTCAAAACCTTCAAGAGACCCCTGAAAAATTCACAGAATTGTTTTTATCGTTTTTTCGGTCACTTAAGGGTTTTGAGGTTTTAGTGGCCCTTATAGTAGTCGGATGAGTGCACTCTATGGAAAACCCTAAAGTGGTCACTAAATTTTCTCGTCTTAATCGTTCACCTAAGGGTTTAGTGGCCACTATAGTAGCCGAATTAGTGACCACTTGAGTGACAGAATTTTAGTGGCCTAAGCGGTACAACAAAACCACTAAAAACTACTAAAGTGACCACTTTAATGCAAAATAGCGGCATCTAAAGAGGCGGTTTAGTGGCCACTTTAGTGTGCTATCCATGTAGTTCTTGGAAAATCTCTCAAGTGGCCACCAGAGTTTTTTTTTTAAAGGAAGGGCATACCGTAATTGTAAGGTTTTGTGAAGAAAATAAGGTCCTCAGAAATCGAAAATTTGAAAAATGGAAAATTACTAAGATAGTATAATGAACATATCATCTATCTAACAAACGACAATTTTTTGAGATAAAAAATTTTTGAAAATAAAAAAATCGGTCCAAAAAAACCTTTGCTGAGCCGGGAAAAATATTACTAGGCCAGTAGAATAAGCAAATCGACTTTCTTAAAAAAAGAAAAGTTTTCAGAAAAAAATTTCTCATTTTTTTGAGGAAACGAATTCTCAAGATTTAAGGTCCCATTTTGAAGAAAGGTCTCATATATTTCACAGAGAAGGTTGAAAAAAAGCCCATGACTGTTAATTTAGCTTTTTATTATGCCATTTTTGAGAAATCAGCCTTCTTAATGAGGTTCGAAGCATTGTAGTTGAGGTTCAAAAAGACAAAATGAACAAATAAAAAGTTTGAAAACTATCAAAAAAAGTAGTGAATTTTGACACTGAGTTTGGCAAAAGTGGTAAAAAAAGCGAGAAGGCTCGAATTAAGCCTGAAAATTGACCCCCTCAAACATGAACAATTCAATAATCGATTTGATTTTTCCTATAATAGCAAAAACTGAAAAAAGTCTATCGATAAATTAATCTCAGCTAAAGTGATAAACTCCCCCACCCTATCACTGAACAAAAATGTGTACAAGATGTAAATAACTGTCCCGGTTCTTGATTGGTAAACGACAAGGGAATAAATCTCCGAAATGGGGACCCTCTTATCGAAAAGAAACGGTATTTGATAAGGTTTGAAGGAACATGGAAAACGAGAATCGAAAATAACGAACAGAAAAGAAGATTGATTGCTCAGATAAAGGGGCCTTTTTTCTGGAAACATTTCTTCCTTTGTTCCGAGCCGACAAGTTTGAGAAAAAGGGAAGGTTTTTTGCGGAAGGAAAACTTGAAAAAAAGTCATTTCTGTAGGAAAATGATGCAATCTTCCGGTTTTTCTTGTTTTGTATGTTTATTTACAATATAAAAAGTACAGTTACTCGATCAAAATCGTCTCCTTTTCCGCTCTTTTTCCTCGCTTTGGTCCTCCGAACGGTCTTGGACGTAAATAGACGCGTAATTTTCGGGTAAGAAGCTGGCGCATTCGTATTCCCACATTCTGGAAGAAAAGTTGAGATGGAGAGGTGGCAATAATATACATTTTATGATCTTACAAAGGGATTTTTTTCTGCCCTCGGTTCAATTTTTTTCGGTAAAACTTGGTTGAAATGTACCTTAGAGCCTTCTAAACCTAGAGGGGGGTGATTAAAGTTTGTAACTTAGGAACTCCAGAGAGTTCCCTATAGGGTTTAAGGGGAAAACGAGCCTAAGTGATTCCTAAAGGGGTAATTTTACCTTAGAACCTTCTAAACGAGCTTTGAAGCTTCATAACTCGGAAAAAAGATCATTCCCGAGAAAAATTTGTATTTTTCTGGAATAAGAAGGCCCTTAAGGGAATTTCAGCCCGAGTTTCAACAAAATTTCAACATGAGGAGATTTGCTATAAATGTTCAAAAAGATCTTTCAGATTATTGGAAATTTACGGGCCGCATCTAAAATAAAAAACATATAAATCATTAGATTTTCAGGTTTTTTAAAATTTATTTTCAAAAACGTGGAATGGCTCGGGCTACAAAAAAGTTGCGCCAGACCAAAAATGACTTGCGGGCGAGGGCATTAAAAGCATTAATGAAAACTTCATCCGCAACGCGACCGCGACGCTTGAAGCCATTCTAAATGCGGCCACGACTTTTAAAGTTCACTATAAGAGGAGAAGTCACTGACCCACCAAAGGTCGCACTTGGAATGTCTCGGCTACAAAAAAGTTTGCGCCCGACCAAAAACGACTTTCGGGCTAGGGCAATGAAAGCATTACAAGAAACTGCTTTACTCCATCCGGGTGGCTTAGAGCCATTCCAAATGCGGCCATAGCTTTTAAAAATTATTTGATAAGGTTGAAAAGTAACAAAACACTAAGCTAGTTTACGTACATGAACTATGACTCTGAAAATAAATTTTTGTTAACGTCATTTTTCAAAAAATTCATTGAATACTTTGATCCCCCTCCCAGGCCACGCCCCTTTAAGTCCCAAGCTACCCGTTAATCGACTATACAACACTTTTCGACAAGGAAAGCGACAGTGCCTGGTTGGTGGAGAGCGCAGACAGGCCACGCCCCCTAGCGTCATAGGCCAACCGTGAATCGACTATCTTATAGAAAAAAAAAATGAAACCTGCAAGAAATGAGAAGAGCTGAGACCTGGGGCGGTTTGCACCAGTCTTTCATGCGTTCCAGCTCGTATTCACACTGAAAATTCGGAAAAAATCAGAAATTTCCCAAAAAACTACGGCGAACCTTGCATTTCGGGGTACAGTGAGGATGAAGTCGATGGTCGCAGTTTCGTCGACATGGCACCACTCCGGCGAGCTTAAACCGAATAATTTTCTACTCTACGCGAGAGAAAAGCGATGTCGTTACAACCTCGCAAACGAATCGCTTTGTCGCCGCGCGAGGCTCGAATTTTTTGGCGCGATATCGCGTATTTCCCGCTTTTCTGACGCACTCGAAAAAAAAATGTGAAAATTTTCGAAAACGCGATATCGCGCAAAGGAAAATATGCGATATTGCAGTCGCAATGTAACGCCAGCGATATCGCATATTAAAATAACCGCCTTCCCTGAGCAAGAGAAAAACTATGTGGTTACACTTAAAAACTCGCAAACGAATCGCTCTGTCGCCACGCGGGGCTCGAATTTTTTGGCGCGACATCGCGTTTTTCCCGCATTCCTGACGCATTCGAAAAAAAATGTGAAAGTCTCCTAGATGCGATATCGCGCTGATTGGCTCAAGCCTGTATTGGCTCTACAACTGACACTATATCGAAAAGGAGCGCAAATGTGCTGCTTTATCATCGCGCCGGACTCACATTTTTCGGCGCGATATCGCAATTTTCTTGTTTTTCTAACGCATTCGATAAAGTTTTGAAAGGCTCCAAAATGCGATATCGCGCCAAACGAAATGCAAGATCAGCGCTGCTATAATGCAGCACTTTCGCGATGTCGCAACGGAACGCCAGCGATATCGCTTTCATCTCGCATGTTATACGAAATCAAAAACTCCCGAAATGCGATATTTCGCCAAGGGAAATGCAAGGACAGCGCTGTTAAAATGCAGCACTTTTGCGATATCGCTTTCATCTCACGATTCATACGAAAACGAAAAAATTTGAGAATTTTCAAAATGTGAGACAGACGTGGCTACGAAGCAGGACTTTTGCGATGTCGCAATAATTTGCCAGCTATATCGCTTTCATCTCGCATGTTATACGCACACGACAAAATTTGAGAATTTCCAAAACGCGAGACAGACGTGTCTACAATGCAGCACTTTTGCGACGTCGGAATAATTTGCCAGCGACATCGCTTTCATCTCGCATGTTATACGCACACATAAAAATTAAAAAAAGAAAACTCAAAAACAGCACTTTCGCGATTTCGCAATTAATCGCCAGCGATATCGCTTTCATCTCGCATGTTATACGCAAACGAAAAAATTTGAGAATTTTCAAAATGCGAGACAGGCGTGGCTACGAAGCAGGACTTTTGCGATGTCGCATCAGTTTGCCAGCTATATCGCTTTTATCTCGCAACAATGACGAACCCCCTGCATGATCTCGTCGTAGTTCAAGTCCCCAACGGCTTTCAAAAGTCGCCGCCTCCGCTCAGTCTTGGCCCGTTCCAAACCTCGTTTGGCGCTGAAAAAAGAAATCTTGAAGGTCGTGCTCTTATTTCCTGGCACCAACGCAGTCTCTTCTATGCAGTTCTTCTTGTAATTCGGACAGAAGGCCTGGATCTTCTCATAGTGATGGCTGTTCTTCTGGAGCTTCTCCAGGGTCCAGATCCCACGGCAGTAGTAGTTGAAGTTGATTCGGAACGCGGCGCAGTACTCGCCGACGTTCAGCTCGTCCTGGGGATCGTGAGGATTAATGTGGAAAGCTGGAGAGTTCAAAAATCGAAGGGAAAGTCGGGGTATTCCAACTGGCTCCCCCTTAATAGAAACCTTTTCAACTCACATCAAAAAAAACAAAGTCGGAATGGTGGATAATGGCTCGAAAAAGGCCGCAAAAAGGTCACAGAAAGGCTGCAAAAATTCTGCAAAAAGGCCACAAAAAGGCCGCAAAAAGGCAGCAAAAAGGCCGCAAAAAGAGTCCCTATATCGTTTTAGCGGAGTGTCGTACAAAAAACCAAAACTATTTTTTTTCTTCGGGATAATTGTTCAAATATCATAACTTTTTTTTTTAACAAAATAGTCGGTAAATGCTGTACTTTGAGGGGAAGTGGTGTATAGCGCGAACGCCTCCCATCACCGAGGGACGGACGTGGAGCAGCGCAAGTGCGCTTGCATACAGTTTTGATATCGCGAGTTCGATCCTCGCAGCGGCCATTTTTTTTATTTTTAATGAAAAAATAGCTTTTCTCTTCAAACTTGTGTTTTTAAACTGTTATAACTTATTATGACTTTGAAAACTGAAAAAAACTACTAAAAAATTTAAATCCGATATGATAACAAAATGAACGCCTAAAGTGTAAAATCTAAACTTTCAGTACTAAATTTCGCGACTTCTTTCACTTCTGTTTTGACCAACCTTTTTCGAAAAACTAAACTGTTTTGAATAGTAAGTTAGAGCAGCTATCCAACCATAGTAATATTGAAGCTCGAAGACTTTTTTGAAAATTTGGTTGCGGTCCCTACAAAAAGGTCAAGAGAAAAGGAGTTTCTGATGTATTTTTTTTCAAAAAGCATCTTTTCAGGCCCTTCTAGAACCTGTCCAAGCTCGATAAATTCGGAAAATGGAAGATTTTCACAATCTATGAAGCTCTATGTAGCTATCCTTCCATGGAAACTTCTTACCAAAAAAAAAACCAACCTTCTTGGCGACCTCAGCGGCAGCACTGGACTGTGCGTCATCATCGGCGGTGCCAAAAGCCGAGAAAGCGTTTCCATTCACAGAATGAGCAATAACGAATAGGCAGAATAGTACACGAAAAACCATGGTTTATCACCTCGGTGAAAATCGATGGGAACGAGAAACGCAGGGAATCTCGTCACAAGTGTAAGTTTTTTTCTTCCTTCTGTCCTTGTCCTTGATGACGGGAATCAGAACATCAAACAGTGTAAAAACAAGGCTTGAAAGTCGATCTCATGACCGTTTTGGTGTTAAACCAAGCGTTTCAACTTTCCAACACGAAGGACAAGTTCAGGTTACGTAGGCAAAGTCGGAAAAGGTGGAAAATGGCTCCTTTTTGCTGATTTTTTGCAGAGCTGTTCTCGGGGCGGCCCCGGTCGACCGAGGGCGCCCCGATTTGCGGCGTGTTCGAGGGCGGCCGCGGTCGGCCTTTGGTAAGGGTCAACTCGGTCGACCCGTAGATACAAAATTTTTTTTGACTCCCGGTTTTTTGCGAATTATAAGAAAGCGAAAGAAGCGTAAGTTTTACTGAAATGAAAGTGAAACAAAAAAATATTTTTATCGAGCACATAAAGAAGAAAAAAACCGATGAAATGAGATATTAATCCAAAAATTCAATAGTTTTCTAAGTGGCCAGAACAATTTACAGAACTAGAGAAAACAAAATAATAAATAAGAAATAATTTGAAATTTTCACATCATCAGGAATTTCATTTTCGCAAAAAATTCATTCAAACCACTATTTGAAATATTATTTTTTTATTTACAACGAGAAAAACGAAAAAGATTCGAAAAAGTGAAATCAAAAAGCCCGATTTCTATCAAAAACAATAAAATTAAACTTTTCATGGATCATAAATAACTTAAACATTCATTTGCAATATGAAAAAAACCGAAATAAAAAAACAAAAAAATACGGAAAAAATCCTCGCGCTCGCTTCGGGGGCCTGAATGAAAACCGCTTCGCGGGCCGGGGCGCTCAGGGGCGCGTCGCGGTCGGGTCGGGGCGGCCTCGGCCAGGGTCGCCCCGACTTGAGAACAGCTCTGCTTTTTTGCGCCCTTTTGCACCATTTTTGCAGCCTCTCTATTTTTTCCCCATTTGTTGAGCCCAGAAAAATTAAAAGGCTTGATAAGGGACTCTTTTTGCAGCCTTTCTGGGGCCTTTTTTGAGCCGTTATCCAATACGACTTTGCCCCAATATAAGGTCTTTTTTTACAAAAAAATCCAGGTTCAAACCTTGATTTTTTTGTGTTTTTTTCTACGTTTTTTTAAAGCTTTTTTTGTGTTGTAAAAAAACTATGAATTTAACATTCTGAAGTCAAAAATAAACTCCTAATAAAGCCAAAAAAAGCGATAAAAAAACATTTTTTTTGCCTTATGTCAACCCTTTTCCAACATTTTTTGACTTTTAAAAAATTCCACCTTACCAAAATCAACGTTAAAAAGTTTTCAATCAAAAAACGCTCGAGTGGCCCCTATAAGGGTTGAGGGTCTGACTCCTAAGCCCGTTAAACTCAAGTAGTCCCTATAGGCATTCACCAACTGGAAAACCCTAGAGTGGCCATTTTTGAAAGATTGAGTGGCCCCTAGAGGGGAAATTCAAGGGCCCTATAAGGATCACTGTGAAGTTTACAAAATGTTCAAATTTTTACATTTCTTCTTCTTTCTGCGCCCTTAAGTGGCCACTATAGTAGTCCAATCAGTGACTAGAATTTAGTGGCCCCTTTAGGAGTTTAATTGGTACTAATAGCCCGCTAAAATTACTATAGTGACCACTAAGAGGCAAAATAGTGGCTTCTGGACACTTTAGTGACTCCTAGTAGTCCTTGAGAAGCCTCTTAAGGGGCCACTAGAGTTTTTCCGAATGAAAAGTAGCGGACTTTTTTCAACCAAAAATTTTCTGAGAAAAAATAATCCTTCCGACAAAAGTTTACTTCATCAAATACCAGTAAAGCGCGGAAGTTAGTAAAATTTTAAAATAGAAGTTTGCAAAAAAGGAAAGAGGGCACAACCATTGGAAAAATACAGATTTACAGATAAAGGCCGGGACAACTTCAATAAGGATTGACATGAACATCTACAACTTCATATTTGTACTTGATATCTTGTGAGTCATTGTCATAGTCTTCATAAGTTCCTCCGTACTCCTCGCCCATGTCTTCTGGGGCGACCTCGTCGAACATGTAGCTCGTTTTCGACTTCTGAATCAAGAAATTCCCATTTTTCGGACTCGAGTCAATGGAATAAAATATTAAAAACCTTATTTTTGAAACTTCAAAAAAGTTCAAAGAAATGAAATCAAAAAACCAAATAGTGATCCCTAAAGAGGTCAGGGGAAAAAAGCCTCTACTGAACAAAAAAAATTTCCCCTGTATGGGGGAAACTTAGGTGGTTCTCAAAGCTGAAGGGGACCCTAAAGGGGTCTTTCCATTTTTCAAAAATACTCGACTAGCATTTCCTCTACAGGCAAGCTTCAGTGGTCCCTCTAGGGGAGGTAAAAGTGTTCCTAGAGGGGAACCATCAAGGGCTCCTAAAGTTCCCCCTGCAGGGATCACTTAAGAGCTTCAAAACGAGCTTATCACTTTTAGTTAGATTCGCTTATGAGGCATATTTTTGAACAAGGTTGTGTGAAAATGATCAAGTTTCAGTGGAATTTGTAGAATTTATTCCTGAAAGAGAAAATTGAAAATAAATCTATATAAAACTCTTATTACAAAAATGTTTGAGCTCATCTTGGGGCCACAAATTCAGCTCGTTGAAGGTTGTTTTTTTTATTTAAAAACTCCCCTGAGCTTACAAATTTGTGAAAAAACCCCAAACTGTCAATTTTGAGAGCTGATTTCACTCTTTTATCGTTTATACTCCTAAAAACTTCCCTGAACCTACAGATCTGTTAAGCAAAGTCCGTCATTTTCGGTAAGAAGATTTTTTTTTTTGGAAGCTGATTCAGCTTTTATTTTCCTGGATCTGAAAGAAAAAACCCTTAACTTCCATTTTTTTGTTCGAAAAACTTATTACGCTTAATTGGGGGTTCTAAAAAAACTTCCCCAAACATGAAAAATTTGTAGAGAAAAACATTTTTCTGAGCTGTCATTTTTCGATTAATATGAATTTTTTTTTAAAGGGATTCTAAACCTGTAAATGTGTTCAGGTAAAGACCCTGAGCTTTCATTTATCGAAAAAAATATTTTTTTGAAAAACTTCTTCAGCTTAATCGGGGGGAGGGGGGGGTTTCTATAACCTCCCTAAACCTGAGAACTTTGTGAAGAAACCCTTAACTGTCATTTTTTTGGAAAAAAATTTTTGTTCGAAAAACTTATTACGCTTAATTGGGCGGTTTCCTAAAAACTTCCCCAAACATGAAAAATTTTTTTGAGCTGTCATTTTCGATTAATATGAATTTTTTTAAGGGATTCTAAACCTGTAAATGTGTTCAGGTAAAGACCCTGAGCTTTCATTTATCGAAAAAAATATTTTTTTGAAAAACATCTTCAGCTTAATCGGGGGAAGTTTCCTATAACCTTCCTAAACCTGAGAATTTGTGAAGATTTCGGAAATAAATCATAATTTTTGTTCTGAAACTCACATTGCTGACCCACTTGAGCCGTCCATCGGGCGTCGTGTAAATCTTGCTCCTTCTCGTGTCCGTCCTAACAAAAATTAAAATATACTCGTTTTTCAAATCTAACAAGCCCACAAGATATACTGAAGACGTCGGAAGATCTTATTCCGGAACACTTTGAAATCCCGGATCAGTGTGTCCAATTTCTCGGCCTGGGTCGCTGGATCGATGCCAATCGCCGTGGCCAACCTATCACATATTTCTTGCTTTTCGGACTTTTTTTGAAAGATTCACTCGGGTGAGAATTTGATGGCCTCATGGACGGTCAGGCCAGGATTGCCCAGAATGCTGGGATAGCCGAAAAAGTTGGCGCAAAAGTCTGGAAAATCATGATTTTCGTTTATTTTTGTGGTTTTGGATAGAACCGAGTATGCATTTGGTGACAGGCGGGGGCAAATCTTCGTGATCATTTCCCCTTCTTCCGGAATTCGGAAGGCGTAACGCGTAGTTTCGGATGCATTCTGGTGGATGGGTAGCCTAGAAATCAGGAAAATGACAAAAAAAAATCCTGAAAAAATAGCCTCCGATCCAAGTCGATAAAAAAATTCTTCCAAAAATGATTCAACTTTTTTTCTTTTTTCTTGTAGCCTTTCTCTATAGTTATTTATAAATACACTCCAATTTTTGAAAAAAATGCAATTTTTTTATGACTTTAGGGGGATGGGGGGTGCAGGAACTCCTTGACAGAAATTGTAATACTGTAGATAAATCCTACAAGAAATATACTCAGGAACGTCAAAGTGGTCCCTCAAGGGGCGAGGGAAAAAAAAAGCCCTTATAGGGAACAAAATAATGGTCCTCAGAGAGGGAAAACCAAAGTGATAACTATAGGGAAGAAAAGTCTGACCCTTTAAGCTTAACCCTATAGGGGCCTTCTGAATGTTGAAAATACCTATTAAAACCATTAGCATGCGTCCCCTAGAGTGGCCACTATATGAAAACCCTAAAGAGACGTTTTTCGCAAGCTTTAGTGTTCCCTATAAAGAGGGGGGGACAAGTTGATTCCTAGAGTGACGCCTTAAAGAGCCCCCCCTCTAGGTACCACTCGGGCAATCCTAAGCATCCTAAAATTCGAATTTAAAGAATCTTAAAAGTAGCCCTTCATCTACCTGAAAATACGCTCTACTGATAACCCAACAGCTTGAGGTAATTTTTGAACTCCTGTCATCCTTTTTCAGCTCACCTGTTGGAGGGCGATCCTCAGAATGCTGGAAATCTGCGAGGCCTGCGACTTCCCGTTACCATTGTACCCTTCAGCGGTCAAAACTTTTCCCTGAAAGGATCACTTTTATGGAAAAATCCGGCAGGGAACTGACGGTAAAAGGAGGGAAATTGGGCAGACGGCATTCGGCAATGATCGGCGTGTGGACTAGAGAATTGGCGAGGGGCGGCGATTCTTGGTGGCTACTTTGTCGGTACATGGCCAGCTCGGACTGGAATTGGATCTTCTTTCGGATATTATGAGATAGTAGCCACTTAAAAGGTTCCTCAAGGAATACATGAAGAACTAAAGTGGCCACTGAAACCATCTCTATAAACTATTTTGCGTCTTAGTTGCCACTAGAGTAGTTTTTAGTGATTTAGTAGTTTCACATAGACTTCTAAAGTGGTCACTAAGTTTGGTCACTTAAGTGGCCACTGGTACGTCGAAACCAAAATTGCATTTTTCCAGTCAGCCTCATTATTCCAAGCTTCCTTAAGTGCTCCCTACAGGGCTTTTTTGATGCATAGTTCAAATTTTAGAACCTAAAAAGACAAAATTAATAAAAATCAATCGATTATTCTACTGTTGATATTTTTCATTCAAAAAACGGTAATTTATTGATTGATTTTTTCGCCTGGAAAAGCTGCTCCTTTAAGAGTTCAGAAAAATAAACGACTAGCACCCTAGAGGGGCCACTAGGCGGAAAATTATTAGTAATCCCTTGAGGGTTTTGACGTTTGATGGCCACTATAGTTGTCAACATAGTGACTGGCCTCTTCAGGAGTCTAAGTGGTCCTACTAGATAATTAAAAACACTAAAGTGGTCACTAAAAAGCAAAACCTATAAGGTGTTCAGTGACCAGTTCAGCGTCCTTATTAGGTAGTCCTTAAGGAGCCTCTCAAGTGACCACTAAAACCCCTACAGTGGCCACTTTTCAAACTTTAGCATCCCTTATTTGGAAACGTTCAAAAGCCCCTCTAGGGACCCCTCTGGCGTTCCTAAGTCTATAAATGATCTCTGACCCTCCAAAATTTCCTTTATCTTTTTCTCTCTCTAACGTCATTTCTATCGAACCTTGACCAAGGTATGAAATTCCAAATCCCTCAGCTCCCATTCTAAAATGAAAAACCGACCATCAACAAGGTTCCAAGAGACAGATTCCTTTCAGCCGCAAGTTGATCCGTCCACAACGAGGCTTTGGCAAGTTTCTGAAGGTATCCTTTGATGCAGGAGGTCCGCACCACGCCGCAGAACTTTTTCTTGAACATCTGGAAAAAAACAGGGTTAAAAATTAGATGAGGACTTAACGAGGAAGGTCATTTCAGCTTGAGGATTTCCTGAAAACCGGCCAAAAATTTCTTGATGTAGAAGATAAAGATCCTGAAGGCCTCAATCTGCACAAATTCAAAATTTTTAGGAGAAGACACCTCAAAGTCAAAGAAACCCCTCAAACTATGTTTAAAACATTTTAAAGCAAATGATCGATTTTGAAACAAGTTCAAAGCATAAGGCCGACTTAATAGCAATTTCAAAGCATACGGACTAATTTTTAAAGCTTGATGACCATTTTCTAGCAGTTTTAGAGCATAGGACCAAGTTTAGAGAATGAGGTCACTCAAAGCAATTTTGTCGATTTTCATCACATTTCAGGCCATTCGAAACTGAGGGTTCTACTTCTGGAAGAACGAGGCGAAGGACCGTAAGACCATGCTTTCAATTCAATCGACTACACGTTTTGACTTCTTTTTCGCCAAAGGCGGTGTTAGTGCCGCTCAAAAGAGCAATTGTTTGACCGCCTAGTCGATTCCATCTGACTAAAAACAATAAATATTGATTGATTGATTCATTCTTTACCTCTTTGAAGTATTTTAAAATATAAGGACAGTTTTGTAGCAACTTCAAAGCATGAGGACACATTTAAAGCAATTTTAGAGCATAAAGACATTTATAAAGGATTTTAAAAGTATGAGGTAGGTAAAAGGACAATTTTAAAGCTATTAAAAAGCTTAAGGACAATTTCTAAGCGATTTCAAAGCATCAGGAAAACGTTAAAGAAATTTTAAAGCAAAAGGTGAATTTTGAAGCAATTTTTATCGGATTTCAACACTTTTTAGGCCATTTTTCACCTCTTAAAAAAATTCAAAGCACTTTCAAGTTTTTAAAAACAATTTTTGTTCGCTTCTCAACGCAATTCCTCACCTCGATCGCCAGTTTATAGTCAGGAGACCCGGAAAAAGCGATCATAATAGCACCAGCTTCAGCGATTTTCAACTCCGCTCCATCGACACAAAGGCATAAATTGTCTGGGAATCCATTTATAAGAAAAAAACAACATTATTCCCAAAACCATAAAGAGACTTGGTCATGTCGACTTCCTCAGCTTTTTTGGAGGTCCCAGCTTGGTTCGTTGACGTTGTAATGGCTTAAAAATCAGTTTAAAATTTTTTAAAATCCAAAAATCACCTTGGAAGGGGTTGGAAAAGTTCCCGGGGTCCAGCAAACGGAGCTGCTTCGCTGGCGATTCCTGTTATTTTTTTATTTTATTTTTTTTATGGGCCTTAAAAAAATACCAATTCATCCCCAGGAACGATGCTCGGCTGCCGTGGCTGCTTCGTGCCTCTTTTCCCGCCGCACAGCAATTTTTCGCTCCCCGACTTTACTCATTCCAAATGCGGCTAAATTTGACTGTTTTCTATGCGGAAATAACGAGGAATAATGAAATTTGTTTGAAAAAGTTGGATTTTCGAGATATTTTCTTAAAATTTACGACTTTAGGAGCTTTTTTATTGAGACAATCGATTCAAATTCGCGAAATAAGTGATTCTAAATCACGAAAATTTTGTACGAAATGCCAAAATCGCTATGAAAAAGTGACGACAGCGGTAGGATTTCGGCCTTTTTAGGACTTTGGCTCCACGGATTCACTCATTTCGAATGCGAAAATTTGAATTTTTACGAAATTTTCAAAATTTGACGAAAAATGACGTGGAACAATGAAAAGTATAGGAAAAAAGTAACGGCAAAACGCTTCAAAAAACTGAATTTTCGAGATATTCTGCAGTATTATTCTCGAATTTACGACTTTATAAGTTTCTTATTAAAACCCAAGAGCTCAATCGATTCAAATTTATAGATAAATTGATTTTTAAATCACGAAAATTTTTGTACGAATAGCCAAAATCGCTATGAAAAAGTGACAATTGAGGTTAAATATCCGGCATTTTCATGACTTTTCGCGGAAAAATCGGGAAAAAGTAATGAAAAGTGTTTAAAAAGAAACGATAAAACGTCTCACAGAGTTGAAATTTCGAGACATTTTGGAAATTTTATGTAGTATTTTTTTTCTCAAAAATAAGCTTCTAATTGAAACCTAAGAGCTCAATCGATTCAAATTTATAGATTAAGTGACTTTAAAACACGGAAAGTTTGTTAAGAATGCTGAAATTGCTCTGAAAAACTGCGGTATCCTGAAAATTGGGCCTTTTTAGAGCTTTGGTTTTCAATATGACAACCTGAAAGCTCTGAAGTTGATTTAAAAAAAAAATCTTTTCATTTTTTTTCCAGCCTGGTTTCAAGATGAATCTGCTCGATTCCCTTCCAAAAAACGCCCAAAAATGAGAAAAAAAAAACGAGAATGGCGCGTAAATGAATTTTCCAATTTTTCAAATAATTCGAAAAGGCTATTGAGAGGCCGTATGCGTGAAAGTTTACGGATCGTAAAAGGCTTGAATTTTTTCAAAGATATCCACAAAATTCTACACTTGATACGTCCAGCCTTAAAGTTACGCGAGAAAATATCAAGTTTATCTGCTTCAAGATCATTCACGCTGCGTAAAAGTTCCTTTATATGGCCTCAGAAAGAAAAATCCAAGGAAAATACAAAAAAAAACACGTTTAGAATAAAGAAACGAAACGATAAATAGCGTCACATACACACGCATTTGGAGCGTTGACGCGGTGGGAAAGAAACGCACGAGTGCTCGCACTGACAGTCTGGCCGCCTGTGTCTCTTCTCGTCCGCACCGTCTATCGTAGTCTCTCGTAATGCGGTGACCCATGCGCTTTTTCTCTCTCTCCATAAACATCGGACGTGGGACGGAGAACAACCGTATTGATTTTCATAAGACGGTCTGGGAACTCTGAAGACAATAGTTTGAAGCAAA